CTTGGTAAGGAGGAAGATGCCGGAAATTCGAAAATTGAGCAGATAATTATTTTTGTTGTGCTTGAATAGAGTTTGTCGAGTTACTTAGATAAAAAAAAAGAAATATACTGTTTATGACATATTCAGGTGATGTTGTTTTATTGAAACATAAGAAAAAATAAGTTCAAAAAAAAACAAATCAGGAAAGCTTATAGAAATTGAACTACGCAAAAAAGCATTAGGACTCGGTAACCTCAATTTTTATTTAAATGAGTTTTTTTTTTTTATCTTAGTCATTATATAATTAAACAAAAAAAAAAAATTTATTTGATTTTGTTTTTTTTTTGTGAAAATCGATATCTTCAATATGATATCAAAAAAGCTATAAATACGAATTTGTATTTCAAGACTTTAATCATTAGAATTTCAACTCTAAAGGATATAAGTATTATATTTCGAAACATCTGCATTGAGTAATACGTCAAAAGTAATTTGCGTCAAATTTTAACCTCAAGGGAAAGATTGGTCTAAATAATCGAATAGATTAGTGAGGGGATTGTAAGAATCGAAAAGAACTTTTTCGATTGAATGAACAATTTTTAACTAGATATATGATTTCATAGGACTATAATTCTTAAGAAATATATGATAAACATATGTTAATTTTATTTTTAAACTCAATTCAATACAATTACAAATGCTTTTCAATTTTCTCGAATCAATATATATGTTATTTCTTAATGAAATAATATTTTATATATTTCATGCATAACACAGAATAGAACAGCAGGAACGTAGTGTCAACTTACAAAATTGTTCTCAACAATGACCTATTTTCCTATGTGAAGAGATCTCTTGATTAACATTATTTCAGTAATTCATAATGTTTCTATTCAAATTTTTTTATGCAACAATAATCAGCACATCATCATTAATGAACTTAGATAAATAACTACATTTAGAAATATGAAAAGAAAAAAAAAAATTTTTTTAGCCTACAGGATCCCTGGAGGAAAGTATAAAGAATATTGAAAAATTTATTTTTAATATGAACATGAAATATAGTATTTATAGATTCATCTCAAATTTGTTTTTCATGTAAGAATTTAAAACTTGATAATATTTTCATGTTAGTTCTTATTTATTTCATGATATCGTGTATTGAATATACTGAAATATAATATATAGTTAAGAAATAACCTAGATCTAAAAACAAAAAAAAGCAATGATAAACAGTTTTTTTTTTTTTTTTTCTTTCTTTCTTTGATCTAATTCTTTTGAATATGTCAAAAACAGAGTATTTTTATTTTTTAGTTAATTTAATAATTTCTATCTATTTAATTTTCGAATAATTAGCATTTTAAATTATATTATATTTTTATTATTTAATAATGAATATTTAAGGGTTGGAAAAATTATAGCTTCTTGTTTTGCTATATTTGCAATATCATTTTTTGCTTTACCAGCTGTAAATATTTTAATAATAATAAGAAATAAAAATTTAATTATTTATTTTATTTATTAGGGTATACTTGGTTCTGGTTTTGCCTTAAAAGTTCAACAAAAACAACGTCAAAAACATTTTTCTCGACAAATTCCAGCTGCAGCAACATTAATTCAAGCTGCATGGCGTGTTTATGCAAGTTCACCTGGTTCATCATGTATTGCAACATGGAATATTTATTTACATGTTGCTGATACATCTTCATTACCAACAGGAAATAAATCATATTCAACAAATCATCAAACATTTGGTGGTATGAATTTTTTTTGTTTTTGTATAATATTTATTTAAGAAAAATAAAAATTTTGTTTTTTTTTTTTGGTAGAAAGAACAGCAGAAAAACTTCGACATTTACGTTTAACAAGTGTTCATCGAAAAAGTCGTCCGAAAAGGACAAGTACAATACCATCATCACCTAATCTTTTACATTCACCTGTTTTTATTGATGGACGAAGTTCAGCATCATCAACATCAAATGCAACAATTTTAGAAAAGTAATATGAAATTTTTTTTTTTTGTCATAGAATTTTATATGTTAAATAATGTTATTTATAATATCTAGTCATGATCATGATGATGAAGATTTTGAAGAAGAACCAATTAAACTTTGGTCGTAAGTATTTTAAAATTTTCTTTTCATATACTTCAATCGTTGATAATGAAGAAAATATTTTTTTTTTTTTGTAAATATTTCTATGCTAAGATATAATTGTATGTCTTGAAACTTTTACAATAATCTATTTTTCATTAAGACCTATCTTTATGCAAAATTTCAACCCAAGTCAAACAAACAGATGATAGGATCTTGCACGATTGTTCATCTGATTCAGAGATGTCCATCGCGGCAGGTTTTTTAAAAAATCACCGCGGCAGCGGCGCGGTAGCGGCAGATTTTTTTAAAAGTCATCGCGGCAGCGGTGCGGTAGCGGCAGGTTTTTTAAAAAACCATCGCGGCAGCGGCAGGATTCTTTTGGAGGACATTGAAAAACTGTATGAATTTAATAGAATTTCAGGATTTACAAATGAAACGCCCTGATATTGAATAAATCTGATGGACTAGTACCCATATCTCTGGTCAAATATAGTCACAGCAGTGAAATTAGAAACACTTTTTTGAAAACCGTCGCGACAGCGTCGCGGTGGCGGCACGTTTATTTTATAATTCATCGCGGCAGCGTTTCTTTTATAAGTCATCGCGGTGCGGCAGCGTCGCGGCAACATTTTTTTATAAACCGTCGCGGCGCGGCAGCTTTTTTTTCTAAGACCGCGGCGCGGCAGGGACAGATTTTCAGCCGCGATGGACATCTCTGATCTGATCTTGTAAGATCAGACGGAAATCGTACAAAAAATCATGGTCTCAGAAGTCTTACTCTAAGATTCTTGACAGATGTTGTTGTCCTATCAAATCTTACTGTAAGATTATAGAAAATCTTATGCAATGGTAAGATCTGACAAGAATTTTAGAGTAAGAATTGATGTAAGATTTTTGAGACCACGATTTTTTGTATGATCGTACAAGACTTAATATCAGATTCTTTGACCTGGGAAGTCAAAATTCAGTTTTTTTTTCGATATTTCTTCAGAGAGATTATGACATTCATTTGAAATCTACCATAAAAATGAAAAATCTCAGTAACAATAAACTAAGGATATAAACTCTTGTCAAAGTATTCATAGCTCATTGGAATCTACATAATACATAGTCTTAAATAAAAAGTGATTTTTATCATTTGGATGACTTCTGATGTTATAATTTCAAGTAGAATGCTTCTAACTTCTGAATATTGAACCTTTAAGTTCGAATGCATACTTAATAATGTAAAATTCATTGTAAAAATCTAATGATATAGGTTTGTTTTTAAAAACGTCGATTGAAAAAAAAAACAAACTTTAATTTACCCTTTGATCTGATATGATTTCTTCGAAAAGAAACTACAATATATATTTTTTTTTTGCATACAGATTTATCTGATGTATTAACTCTTTGATGGTAGTTTTTTTGAAAAATAAATAAAATTTTATTTTAAATATTATTTAACATTCTAAACAAAACAAATACATAAAATCTGTTACATAACTATAATGTAGCATCCGGAAAGAAAAATATTGAAAATGCAAAATAAAATTTGAAATTTCTCAAAAAAATAAATTACGCAAATGTCCATATTATAGTCTTCACACATATTACATGAATCTTTTCTATTTTTGTGTTTCTTATTTGAAATTACAAGAGACATAAAGTTGATTTACAACTGGATATACTGTGCAAAGCGGTAATACATAAAGTCGTTACTAGCAATGCATACCAGAGATGGACAAAATCGCACCGCGCCTCCCCGCGCTTCCCCGCGCCACTGCTCGCGCCTAGGCACTACGCACATCTCTCTTTCTCTTTGCTCTACCAATCAGTTTCTCAAACTCCACCGAATACAGGGATGCTCTAAGCATGCGCTCATCGAAGCTCAGACTAGTGTAGCGTAGGCGTGAGCAACGGCGCGGGGAAGCGCGGGGAGGCGCGGTGCGACTTTGTCCATCTCTGATGCATACATTTAAGCACAAAGCATACGAAAAAGAAAACCGTATTTTAATATAACTAAAGACATTTTTCTCTAACTAAATTTTAAAACCGTAAATTTTGCGGATTTCACTATCAAAGGGTAAAAAGATCTAAATGTTTGATTTATATTGTTTCGATGAATTCATATTTAAGATTAACAATTTCACTTACAATTCATAGTTTAATTCAATATATCAATTATTTATATTAACTACTTTTTAATCAAAGATTTATTTTATTTCAGAAACGGTTTTTCTTTTGTTTTTTCATTCCTAACATATTCAATATTTCAAATAAATAATTAATATAAATTTATTTATTTTTAATAGTTTAACTGAAGATCATAAACGAATGATACGATGTATACGTAAAATGCAATTAATTGTTGCTCGTAATCGATTTCAAGTAAATAAATATTTTTCTTGATTCTTTTTTTTTTTTCTAAATAATTTATTTATTTTTTTTCTTCTAGCAAGCAAGAAAACCATATGATGTACGTGATGTACTTGAACAATATTCTCATGGACATATAAATATGATGATGAGAATAAAAGAATTACAACGAAAGTAAAACAACAAAAAAAAAACAAATATATATAAATTTATCATCTATAGAAAATTTTTTTTTTGATTCAATTTATTGTTTTAGAATTGAACATACAATTGGTAAACAAGCACCCGTAGCAATTGAAGATCGTGCTAAATTAACTGTTCTTGCACGAATGCAACGCGTTGAAGGTACAATGAATATTATGGGAGAAACTATGGAAAATATTTTAAAATTATTAAAGATTGTTGATGAAAAACTTGATCGAGTTTTACCTAATGATAATCGTTCGACAAAATCAATTTTATCACGAATGAATACAAAATTTTCTTCTACACAAGAAGGAATATTATAAAATGAATGTTATATATTTTGAAATAACATAAAAAAAAAAAAGAAGAAAAAGGCAAAATTCAAAGATCAGAAACAAGTTGATTCGTTATTTCATATTGATTTGAAATAAAATTTTTTTTTTCTCGAAATTTTGAATACATTGATAATGAAGTTGCTCGTAATGGTACTCGATTTAATGGTATTTGTAATTCACCAAATGATTGTGAACGTCTTTCAACTTTAGGTTTAGTTGATTGAGTAAGAACAATTGATAAATGATCATTTAATTGTTCTATTGAATGTAATGATGAATTCCTTTGATTTTTTCGAGATATAGAATAACGTTTATATGAAATAAAATTATACATTAAATAAAATATAAGAATAAATAAAAGAATAATTAATAATACTATAACATATATACTAGTATAATCAATTGTTGATTTCGATGATAAAATTAAAATTTGATGTGTTTGATGAGAAAGTGTTATATTTGATTCAATCATTGCTAAAGATAAGAATTTGAGAATGTGTTTAGAAAAAATAAACTATTCTCTTTTCTTCTTCTTTTTCTGTTATTATTATCTTTTTTTTTGCCTTAAAAATGTCAATCTAGATTCAATTAGAAACTTAATAGACCGATCGACACAATAATATCATAATAAATTTATCAAAAAAAAGAACAAAGTCCAATGCACCTACCAATATTATTAATCGTTAGTGTTCATCATTGTATTACATATTGTAATCATGTAATTGGTTTTTTTTTGTTTTGATAATGAAGAGACGATCTTCACTTGTCGATTGTCTAATTTCTTTTTATATAGATTTATTGAACAATGTTCTTTTGTTTCTTTTTTTTTTCTCTATACACTAAACAAATCTATTTCATTATTTATGCACTCAACATAGTATCATTGCTTTTAAAAGAATAAGACCTAGTTGAATGCTTGTAAGAAAAAATAAGTTTGAAAAATATGTAAATAAAACTAGAGAACCTAGAAAAATGTCAATCGAATTGAATTATACAAAGATATTTCTGATAAAAACGAAAGCAATCATTTCTTTTTTTTTTCATGTGAACAGCTGTATTTGATTTGATCATAAAAGATAGTATAGACTTAGATCGTCGACATAGAATTTATATTCATGAAAATATAAAAGAATAATTATCATTGTTGAATCTACTTCTTATTGAAGAAGTATAAAATAAATGATGAGTTTTATATGAAAGTGATCATTAACATATAGACTTTGTCATACATAAGAAAAAGTATAGTTATTATATTAATTCTTGTAGATATATCAAAGTTGGAATCGATATTAGTCTAAGCGACTATACCAAGATGAATCATTTTTTACTTTTCTGATTTTACAAAAAAAAAAGCAAATCGAACCCTCAATTAATTACATCTACTTTTTAATCACTACAGCAATAATATACAAGTCCTGTCTCACATACTATTGCACTTAATACACACTTGAATTTTTGTCTCTACGTAGTTTTTTATTTAGAAGAAATTAAAATTATTTCAACGAGCATAAATAGAGCAAATGAGTGACTATTCGACAAACATCGAGTCCAGCTTTTTACACTCAGGGGTGCGCGAGCGGGGGGTTGGATACCCCCTGGTTTTGAAAATTTTCGTTTTTTTTGCTCAATGATTACTTCAAATTTTGATTTTTTTCACATTTTCTTCCGCTTTTCGAAAGTACTCCCCTGCTTCGACCTCTTCGCGCCGCCCCTGTTCATACTTCTTTACTGTGTTACCTATTCTCACTCAGATTGAAGACATAGCACAAGATTTGTATTCAGGCATCAGACATATGAACTTAGGAATCAAATTTCACCAAATAAAGAACTATAAGATGAAATCTTGTATAGTTTTTTAATCTAAATTCTACATTATTTCAACGGTTATATATTCAGTAGGCATTGCACTGAATACACTGATAAGTGCAACATAAATTACTACCAGTGTAAGAAAAAGAACTGGAAATGTTACATGAAATATCACAAAGATACTGATTGAAAATGTAAAAAGTGTTAGATGATGGTATCTTTGGCGTTTCGTCGATTGACTAACTTTTTTAATTATTAAATGCTATTTATTTCTGTGTACAATTTTACTTCTATACTATTAATCTTTATTAATTTGATAAAAAACAGAAGAAATTTGGTCGTTGTGAAACATTGTCTCTAAAATTTTAGATTGAACTATTGCCCATTTAAGAAAAAAAGGTGAGTGGATATTTTTTGCATAATTTTTGATAGAAGCAAGATAGAAAGTTGCGGTTTTCATTGTGGAAAAGAAGCGATGAAGACGCATCGAATAGTATATTATATACTTCTCTAGGATTAAAATGATTTTTTTTCAAAGAAATTAATACCAAAATCAGCTGAAAGTTTCGAATAAAATACTTATAACTCCTGAATGAAAAAAATCTAAAAGTCTAGAACTTGTGCAATTTTATAGACCTTCATCTAGTGATTTGAATGCACACCTGATTATTGAAAATTGGCAGTAGTCATCTTACGGAGTATGTTGATTTTCAAAAATGTCGATTGAAGTTCTTGAAAAAATAAAAGTCAAATTATTCGGTAATATGCAATTCAATGCGTCTCTATTTCCAACGGTGAAAACTGCAGCACTCTATTTTATTTCTATCAAAAGTTATTCAAAAGGTGAATTCTCATTTCGTCGAAAAGTAAAATTGAAAGAAAAAGAAGAAGAATATGAGTATCTGATTCTTCTTCTTTGAGTCTATTGAATAGAGTAATTTTCATCAAAGAAATCAATTAAGCTATATCAATACGTCATTCAGTCAGCCATTCAATACCACCACGGAAAACTTATTTTTAAATCGAAATCTTCGATTAAAATATTTAGTTTTACATTTCGATGTTTGTTTTTTTTCTATTGTTTAGTTGATTATTAATCATCATGAAATTTGAATTATTATCAAATGAAATAATAATTGAATGTTTTGAATATCTCAATATATTTGATATATTTCATTCATTTGATCGATTAAATAATCGTTTTTCTTAAACTTCTTCGAAATATTCTTCAATACATATTAATTTTCAAAATATTCGTAAAAGAAAATTTTTTCAATTTTGTCAAGAAAAATTATTAAATATTAAAATTCAACAACAAATTTATTCATTATGTTTATCAAATAAAGATTCAATTGTTCAAATTAAAGTATTTTTATCATTTAATAAATTTTCTCATCTTCATTCATTAATATTAATTCAAAATGGATGATGAAAATATTATTCAATTGAAATTAATATTACCTATATTAATAGAATTAAATATATTTTATTTAATTTCTTCTCAATGTGATGAAGATAAAATAATATCTCATCTTCCAATATCGAATTTAAAAATATTATCTATATTAACATATTTAATAATATCTTTAATACCATATTTAAATATTTTTAAATTTAAATTTAATTGTAATCGTATATATCGAAATGAAACATTTCTAAATAGATATCTTCAATTTCAAAGTAATTTTTTATGTAAAAAAACATCAATGGTATACTCAATTATTATCAGATAAAGATTTATTATATACGTATTTATACAGTACCTTATCTATCAAATACATTTAAATTAGAATTCTATACTAAGAGACTTTCGAATAAGTTAATAAATACTATTAATACATTTGATAAAGTAATCAATCTAACATTGAATGATAAGCAAATAAAAAAAAAACAATCTTTTTATCGTTTTCCAAATGCTTGTTCATTAACATTAACTACATTAGAAGAAGGAATTAGTAATTCTTCATTACAAAAAAATAGATATAATATGTCTAAAAATGATTATTAATTTATCTAATTTAAAACATCTAGATATTTCAATGTGTTCAAAAATAATATTAACAGGAGAATTATTAGACACATTAAAAAAATCATCACAGTTATCATCAATAAAAATTAATTCAAATGATTTAATATTAATATTTAATCATAATCAATTATGTTCATATTTAAATAAAATGATTAAACAAAATAAATATATACAAATATGCTCAATGTTCATTTAATAATCTTAATGAATTAAAAAAAATTTTGTAGAATATTTTCAAATATTGAACATCTTATATGTAATATTCATGAACCAAAATTTGTATTATTTTTATTATATCGATTATTATCAGATAAAGATTTATTATATTGGACTCAAATGATGAGTTTCTATCGGAAAAAAGTTTTTAATCAGAGTTTACAAAAAAATTAGCATTTTTCTGAGCCCTACCAGAAAATGTTTCACATCTTTAATAAGATGTCGTTTTCAGGAATGCCATCGAAAGCTACGTCAAATTTCATTTAAAAAAAATTCATCCGTTCAGAAGTTGTTCGGTTTTCAATTCCTGGTGAAATTTTTTCGAAACGTCTCGAATCTTAAAAACGCCATTACTTCTGAACGGATCAACTTTTTTAAATGAAATTTGAAATCTGTCGATGAAATTTGATGTAGCTTTCGATGGCACTCTTGAAAACGACATATCATTAAAGATGTGAAACATTTTCTGGTAGGGCTCAGGAAAAAGCTAATTTTTTTTTGCAAACCCTGATTTAATTTTTTTCCGATAGAAATTCATCATTTGGGACCCATGCTCTCTGATGGAGATCCAGTATACTGGAAAATCCTGGTTACGCCACTACCTTATCGAAACGAGATGCTGTATAGCGTTTATCATATTTGTTACTCGATCTATAATAACAATAACCCATTTCACACAACTTTCTAATATGAAAATGTTTAAAAAAAAATCATAGAAACTACTACATGTAAAAGAACGAACGACATGTACGACGAACCATTTCTTAAACATCTTCTTTGTTGTAGTTTTCATTTTTTTCCTTCTGACTACGGAAAAAAATTCAAACTCACCTATACATTAAACAAGACATAAGCAACAAGCACCTATGAGTATGTGAATGAGAATGCAATCAGTGACGAGAGTGAGCTCAAATGTAGTATATGTAGTGCCGAAAAAGAGAAAAAAAGTATTATCCAAATTTTTCTTCAATCGCTAAACTTCTATAAAGACAATGATAAAAGAAAATCTTCGTCGCCTAACAACAACTCGTCAAACAATAGTTACACGTACAACTGAAGCAGAGATATGGAGATGCAAGCCAAAATCTCATTCCTCACAGACCGAGTATATTTCTCGTCGAAACGATTCAATCTCTGGCATTAACCTCTACTGTAGATATCTCTTAGCATCTTCTGATGAATTCTTTTGTTTCTGGATTCTTGTTGGGATTTCAAGTGTGCAAGTAGACAAGACCATATGATTTTTTGAAACATGATTTGGTTTTTCAACTATTAATTCATATTTACAACGAGAAGGACCACCATGTGATCGAGCATATGGTAGAAGATGACTGCATACTAATAAAAATGCACAGTATAAATAATGGTAAAAATCATATTTTGGTACTCATCGAAAATTAATACAATAATTTCATTTACCAATGATTCAATTTGCATGTTTTTCTTCTTTTCTAACAAAATAAACTGACTTTTTTGTATATTTCTGTAAGAAACAAAAGTCGTGAAATATTTATGAATATTCTCACGCTGAAAGTATTGTAAGTTAGATGGTGCAATATTGCTCTACGGTAAAAAAGCAATTGCACTGATAATACCATTTTCTTTTTTTTTCTTTGTCTCTGTCATATACTCGGTAATGATGATAGAGCGGAATAAATGCATCATTGTGCTATTTAGTAACTTAATCTTTCTTTTAGATTCATCCGCACCTGTTTACATGCCTTATCATCACTGTCGTTATTATAAAAGTCGATGAGATTCTACGTAGTCATCAATACTTTTACGTTCTCTCACCCATCATGTCATCGATTGTGTTATTTATCGTTTTATTGGTCATTGCAGTTGCTCGAACAGCACCCATGCAAGATGAATCGTGCGACGCGCAAGCATATTCTCATAGAGACTGTACGGGCAATGTCCGAGTTCCGCGTGATTGCTTATCGGCCACTCTCGATTTGATTCATACTGATTTTGTTAAATCATGCAGTTCGGTGAATTTGTTCTGGTCCTATCCAGCGAACAATCTGACGATGATCATTGAAGCACAACAACATCAACCGTTCACGGTTACTTTTGACAACGATCAACTAATGGGTGCTATCTCACATGTCTATCGAATTATCGACAATCAAGAGATAGAAGTGACAACGACAGACAACAAGCTAGTTCAACACTCGGATTCAAAGGATCAGGTCAAACTGAAATTCGATGCTACACCCGAATTGATGTTTTATGGAGTCTTTATCAAGTATGATATTGTTTAACCAATGGAACCAGATGATTCCACTACTGTTTGATGAGTAAAATATAATAAAAAGCCAATAATGCAGAATACAACGAGTGAATCTAATTCTAACCTCACTATGTAAAACATGTAACTTAGTCAGAAAGTAAATTTCTTATTCAGAAAAGTCCGCTACTATGATATTGAGACAAGAGGAAAAAGCAGATCTCAGAAATATAAAAAAGATACTTGATAAACTTGAGAGGTTAGTATTTTTTATCGATGTATCATAAGTATGAATGGTTTTCTCAAGCTAATATGAACAAATTTGAGAGAATTCGCGTTTTTTATCTGTACATGAATCCATATTCGAGTTCTTGAGGCATTCTTGGTTTCTAGAATGAGACGTCTCCAGATATGTGACTTTGTTTCAAAAAGTACAGAAGAAATGTCGATAGTCACATTATAATTAGGGCTGCCCCTAAGCGGTGATGATTGAAGAGAGGAACGTCAACATTTTTTATGATTGATAATACCTTTATTCTCGCCGAGAAATGCATTCAAAAATCGCTTTTCGAAACGTTTCTTCATTAAGAAAATTCGACTTTTTGCACGCAAAGTTTGGCGAAAATCCTAGTTTGAGAAATTGGTTTGAACAATATGAATAGGTAATGAGAAAGGTGAAGAAGGAGAGGGAAGGGGAGTCATTTTTGAAAACTTCTTTTTCGACAACAACAATAATAAGATAGTAAGAAAACTAAAAATAAGCAAACCGAGATATTCACACAAAGGTGGCATCTGTTCTCTACTCTATTTAAAAAATCGAGACCGTTTTGCTAACAAAAAAAACTATACAGCACAGATCACATAGTGATGCTGAGTGGACTGATAACATTCAACTAAAATCATAATGAATAGAACTATATAAAGAATATCTCAAAAATTATGAACGATTCTAAATCCGAATGGAAAATTGACGTTTGACGGAGAACGCACATTATCTTTTCACTTAGCTGACAGACGAACATCATCATCAAATACATCATGTATTGAGTTGAATCGTCCAGCCCAAATTTCATGTTTACTGTTATCAACACAGAAAATGTAAATGAAAATCAGGTATAATATTTTGTTTGAAGGATTAGTTTTAAGAAATTTCATATGATTGTTCTTTACGAAGAAAAATACAAATTGGCCAAAAATCAACGATTTGTATTGAAAGCTCAAATCTGTTTATTGTAACTATCGTAAATAACAAGATTATCATCATCTTGCATTATAACAACAGTTGGACATGAAATTTTGTCATATCAAACTTCAGAGTAACTCTTATGAGATGATGAAAACTTCACGTAGATTGCTTGAATCGTTTAATTGTTATTCAAGTTTAATCAACTTAAAATGCTTGATTCGAATCTCTTTCTGAGTTGCCAAAAGGGTTTGAATGTGGGGTATGTGTGATTGAGGAAGAATAATCTACACCCACACACCCCAGAATTATAGAAAGTAACATGTTCATCAATAGGAGATACTACATTTATTATACGGTATTGATTATGGCTATCATTTGAGTAGCCAATAGAATAGATGAAATTGTCAGTATGCAAAATAAAAGAATGATTAGTTTTCAAAATAATTAGATTCGTTAATATATATAAATGAGTAAATTAGATTAATATAAAGTAGAGCAGCAATATCTGAATCTGATCTGTTTTGCTAGTACGATAATTGAACTTTCATTTTTTTTTCTATTTATTTTTCTCGTACTAAATTAATCTACATAAAAATAAATCTATTTTCTTCTGCTGATAAAATTTTCACTTTTTCTCGTCAAGGTCGAACATTTTAAAATTATTTACTGATGCAAAATTCTACTTGCATTAAATATTTAAAAATAATGACTCATCTTGAAATTACCCTTTACATTGGTACATGTTTTCGTTGAATATTTACATTTTGATTCAAAGAGAATTATCTAAGTATTATCGATTGTAACTTATAAACAAAAGTTATATAGATCATTTGTTCAATGCTTTGACAGTGTACTATAAGACTATTCGGAAGTGTGTTAGTAATTTCGAATATGTAAGCGACATTCAATTTATTTATTTTTTTTTAATTGGATTTTGTTCTAAGCCATAAAAATAAGCGAGAAAAGATTACAAAAAAATTCATGAAAAAGAAAATTTTTGTCAGCAAATTTATGACTGACATAATTTTTCCTTCGTGTCAGCAATATGTTTATTTAATTTGATAATCTTATCATATTCTTCTTCTCGATAATTCTCCATAATTTTTAGTGCTAATTCAAAATGTTTCAAAGCAAATTGAAATTTTTTCTGATTACCATAAATACGAGCAACATTTGTATGATACTCAGCTAAATCCATGTCTTCAGGTGGTAAGCTCTTCTGACCGATATCTAATGCTTGTTGAAAAGATTTAAGTGCTTCTACATCATTGTGCAATTTTTCTTGAACAATACCTATTGCATTCCATGTTGATGCAATTGAAAAATGAGTTGCTGGTAATTGTTGCTGTCTAGTCTTTAAAACCATTTCAAAATCTTTCAAAGCAATCGCATTATTACCATATTCTACTTGAATTTTCGCTTTGAGACTCTCTAATGAAGTTAGTACTAATGAATTTTTTGAATGTGAAGAATTGAGCAATTTCTCTTCGGCTTGTCTTTGTTGTTCTTCTGCACTTCGAGGATCTTCTAATGCTAAAAACGCTAAACCAAGATTACAATGAGTAGCTATAACTTGAGGACTATCTTGATAATTCAATTGAGAATATATCTTAAGAGCTTTTTCATAATATTCAACAGACTGGTCTAGCTTATGAGTATCTTTATAAATAAGACCAAGTAAATTGTAAGCATTTCCTATTGCTTTGTCGTTCGTTGGAAGTTGTGCAAGCACATATTTCACATAACGTTCGGCTTTGTTAAATTCACTCATTCGAAAAAGAAACCAACCGAACGATAATGGATCTGGTTCTGATCCCATTTGTTTCATCATGTGATCCAAAAGGCTTTGGCTAAGTTCGTTTTGTTCTTTACTTAGTTGTAAATGAACATGCCACATGTTGTCATGTTGTTCAACTGATTGGATTTTAAAAATAGCACCTATCGAAAACAGTACTTCGTCTTCATCACCTTGACAGCACCAGAACTGTTTAAGAATTGCAAATGGTGTTGTTTCTTTACTCATATTATTAATATCAATTATGAAAAGAACAGATTTTAATGATGATGGTTTATTCGATGGATCACTTGTACCAGCAAATATTTTAGCTAGTTCTTGATTCAATGAAGTGCTTAAAAAACTATTCATTGAGATAAGTCCATTTATACTACGTTTAAGTACATCAAGTTCTCTTAGACTTAAACGTTGTCCACGATAAACTCTTAAATGATGATTCATAATAGAAGATTGACTATCTAAATATTGGTAATAAAGTTTTTCGATTTGATTATGAAGATCATTAACGAAAAATCGAAATTTAAATATAATATCCGTATCTTGTGTGCGTAAAGCTTTGTTTAATAATCGATATACAAAACTATCTTTTGTATACCATTCAAATGCTTTTGTTGGAGAATAAGTTTTTTCAAAATTATCTATATTATTTTTTACGAATTCATTATCATGATAAGTTGTTCGACATTCAGCAATCATTTCAGTTTTTGCATTACCATATTTTGCCATTAATCGAAGAACAATCATTATTGATCGATACCACATAAAGCTTGCACTTTCTTTAGTTAATTCCTGTAATGTATTTTCTCGTTCAGCAAGATGAAATACACTCATTGATAAATCTTCATCTGTGTCACATACACCAATATCATTACGAATTTTATTTAATAGTGCTGGTCTTTTTGTAAATATACCAGAAACTTTTGAATAAGGTTTAGTCCATGTTTCAGCTAATTGTAAATTACCACAATATATATATATCGCTTGTATATGTGGAATTTCATATATAAGTGGTACGACATGTTGACCAAATGTGTTTGAAACAATCAGAAATATTCGTTTTGTTGTCGGCTCATCAGTTATATCATCAATACATTTATCCGGATCATCAAATGTTAATAAACGATGCCTAACCAATTGTTGTATGAATAGTTTTGTATCTCGATTACCTTTGGTCCTTTCAATACCATTATCTAACCATACGATAGTGAAGTCGTCGGTTAAATTGTTAATGCTGTCACTTGTCATGTTTTGAATAGAAATGACTACACAAATAAGTTGAAGTTACTGTCGTTACTCTACTTTTTTTTCTTTTCGTTCTTCTATTCTCTCAATCTTTTTAACACGATAGCAGTAATGGACTGCAATTTTACAGGTACATGTGACTGTCTGTGTGTGCTATTCTTTCTCTTTCATGCAATTTTTTCTCATGGTTTATTCCAATAACGGGTGGGCTTTTTCTTTGATGTTCTTCTTCAGTTGGGTATTTTCCAACATTGCTGAATATTTTTATTAAGCATCAATAGTCTTTTTGTTCCCTATCTTTGTTGGAAGTTTCTAACTCTAGACGTGCTTGTTCGTTAGTATGCAACTATTGTTTTTGTGATGTCTAATATGATAAATAAGTTTTATTTGGCAAACATAAAATTTGCTTATTTTTAAACTTCATACAAAAACATATCTCAGGATTTAATAATTTCAATTTATATATCACGCAGTTATTTCAGAATGAGACCTTATCATAGGATTTATATGAAACAGATCTTAATTATATGTAATTGATTATACAAAAACATACCACATACTAAATATTTGAGTTTAGAGATGTGAAACGATCGAAAATTTACCGCTCATTTTATGGATACGTTTCTATTCAACATAAAATACATCTATATTCAACTTATGTACTATTAAGAGTATTGAAGCCGACAAAATACAATAATGTTGAACGGAATTATTCGAAATATATAAATGATCATGTTTTGTTTAGTTAGAATTTTCAAAATTTTTACTGTTGTAAACTTTTCTAGTGTATCTAGTACAATAATGATTTTAATTATGTTTTCTTCGAAATGTACAAAGAAAAAAAAAATAAAGAAGTCATCTATCAACGGATGTATACTCTTGTTTATCAATAGCTTTTTTCAGATTTGGGCTTACAAAAAAATATTCTATTCGTGTCAATGAAGACAGAGTGTCAGACACTATAAAATGTTCTTACTGATAAGAGCTAACCTACTTTCTAACTTAATCATTGAGTTAAGATATTTTCTTTGATACAAGAAGACACTGAAATTTGATAATTAGGCATAATTGACAGATAATTTCTCAAGCAATATATGTTTGACTGATATTTTCGCTTGGTATATGAAAGAGAACTGTGTTTTCTTTACTTGACGATGGAACACTTCAATACTATTAGAAAATATTATGAAAAGGTCAAAACAACATTCAATTCTAGTAAAACACTGAATAATACTATTTTCAGTGTCATCTAATAGTTGTAATGAATCTATTGTTGAGTACATGCTTTTTTTTTCAAAATAAAAATATATTAATAAAATCAAAGTGAAATTCTCATCGAATCCAACTTGAGAAAAATAGATTAATCAAAAATCAAAAGATTAATCTGCTTTATCTCTTAATTATGTTATTCACAATGCTAATCATCATCAATGTATCATTATATTATGTATCTGAATAATTTCACTGTATCTGCGACAGATAATTTCAAACATGAAAATCGATTTGAGGAAAGTCGTGTATAAAGTGTCAGAGATACAGTGGAATCACTCGTATATGATATTTATCTGACAAATTTGTTTTTATATACAGTTCAAGACAATTGAAATTATGTCTCCTCAATATTTTGTTCTGTTGAACTCACAAAACTTTTCGAAGAAAATAGTAAATGTAAGTTTTAAGTTAAACTATCTAATTCAATGTTTATCATAATACAAATGTTAAATTAAGACCTTCACTCAAAAATACTTTCAATCCGATATCATGATGCTTCAAAGAGATATTGACCAAACAAAGGTCAAAAATAGCTTATTTGGCAAACTAAATTTCTCTGTCCAGATTCATTATAAAGATATTTTTTTGTTTGAAAGAACATGTCAGGATGCAGTGCAGTACAGAGCTCTTTATGTAAATCTTTACATTTTAAGAGAAGAAAAGAGATGGAAAGTTTAATGACTTAAAAAATACTTAAAAAATGGGTGTCGAGTTATATAAGTGTCTGTATGTATAATAAAATACTGCTTAATCGAAAAAAAACTATACTGCACTGCATCTTGACATGCTCTTTCAAATAAAAAAAAATTTAAATATATCACATAGACACAGACTAAGAAATTTAGGCTGTGCGTTCGACATATCATGAACTGAGAAAAAAAAAGACGTGCAGAGTAAAAATTGTTGTCGTTTATGGGAGAACAGACCATGAGCTGTTTTTCCTTGTATCTATCTTAGTTTCGATTATTCTGACGGAAAGTGGCTTTTTTTTTGGGGACTCATTACTATATTTTTTTTTGTTTATTAACCTGCTATATATAAAGTGAAAGCCCAGAACGCGCTACATCATTTGATATATTTACATTGAACATCAAATGCAGTTTAAAATGTATTAGAAGAAAAAGTGACATTCGTTTTTACTACAATATCGGGTGTCCATAATGTTGCAACATTTTTTATTTCGCATATATCTCGGCTTAGATAAATGATAAAACCTTGGATCTTTTTTTTCAAAAGATGTGCCGTAAAAAGCTCTACAAAATTTATATAGAACAGATCCTATAGTGAATCAGAAAAGGCTTCGAAATATTTGCTATATAATGAGAAGCGATACTGCCATGTAACTTGTTCATTTTTGACCATATAAAAATCATTAGAATAGGTGAAAAGAAAGTGGATCGTACAACTTTTGTAGAGCTTTTCACGGCACATCTTTTGACAAAAAAAAGATTCAAGGTTGTCTCGTTTATCTAATCCAAGATATATGCGAAATAAAATATGTTACAATGTTATGGACATCTTGATATTGTAGCAAAAGCAAATGTCACTTTTCTTCTATTACACTTTTTTACATTTTAAACTGCATTTGATGTTCAATGTAAATACTTAAAAAAAAAGCAGTGCGGTCTTGGCTTTCTTTATATATATATATATGTAGCAGGTGAATAAATAAAACAACTTATATTAATAAAAATTGAAAAAAAATCAAAGAATATAATCTTAATTGTCATTGACTGTAATTCATTGTTTCTAAATCTCTTACTAATTACATCTAGGTTACTGTTATCGAGATCGTTTTTAATTAGTTTTTGGTAAGAGAAATTTTCCTTATTAAGTGGAACATTCTCTATTACGAGAAGATAAATATGTCACATAGATGTATAAATCAATTAGCACGTGGAGTATTATTTTCTAAAAAAAAAGCATCAGCTACATTGACACTGTCAATTAACGGTGGGTAAGTGCCAAAGGAATACTGTTCTCTTGCACTTGCTACATACTAGTAATTGCAACAGTCATTTGCAAATGCTGTCTAATAAATCACATGTCGAAATAAAACGATGTATTATGTTTGATGGCTATCCGATTACTTTAAAAATTTTGCATATCAAACATGAAACTCAATGAATTGTAAGAAAACTTGGGAAGGACTATCATTTTATCTAGGCATTATTATTTTTATCATAACATGCGAATTTTTTTTCTATTCTTACCTTCCATCACTCAACCATGACAAGGTGATGAGTAAGCCGTTTTTTGATTTTTTAATATCCATCATTCTTTTATCTCTTAATTATTTCATGTTTATCTTTCTTTCGTCTCTCAATTACTAAATTTTTATCTTTCTTCTTCGTTCTTTATTTAAACAACGGAATAGAATTGCCCATACACTTATATTTACTTGCGAATAATATTCGACAACCATCATTTCCTTGTTTTTGCACATGAAGTTAACGCTTATGTCGTTTCATAATTAGTAGATTTTTTTCTCATCATTATTTATCATTAGTCGTAATAGGTATGAACTATTGTCATTATTGATTTAGATGATTATCGAAATCATTAATAAAAAATGAATAGTTGATACTATAAAAACTTGATTTATTGTAATACAGAAATATTGTAGTTGTATAGATATTATATCTTCGAAAAGACTATAAGATTCGAAGATGAAACTTTCATTGAAAATGTTAGAAATACTGTTCGAAATAGCAAAATTGTAGACCAGATAAATTCTACTATTGCATTCTTTCGTCGACATTTTAACCTTTTTGTATTAATGAAAAAATTTTGTCAAATAAAAAATTCTATATCTTATCTTTTTCGTTTCAAAGACAATGTTATATATAATTCAACCCCACTTAAAATTATTTCTGCTAATCATATGTTACTGTTGCAATTGCATAGGTAAGTTGATGAATTTTTTCGAAAACAAAAACATGACAGATATTAGCTGGAGGTTCTAATCAACTTCGTTTGTTAAACTATCTATTAACTGATAATCGATATAGACCAATTGCAAGACCTGTTCAAAATGATTCTGATACATTACCTGTCACTATAAATTTGGCTTTACAACAAATCATTAATTTTGTAAGTGAGATTAAAAATACATGTTTTCTTCAATCTTGAAAATATAAATAGGATGGAAAGAACGAAGCCATTGTTATTAGTGGTTGGATGACTATCGTATGTATGCTTAGTTATAATTAGGGATGCAACGATGATAGTGAGGCAAATACTCGTCTATACTGGCTTAGGGTGTACTTGTATTTTTACGAAGTTCTGAGTTTGATTGTTTTTGCAAAAAAGCTTCTTTTACGAAAAATTATATTTCTATAAACAAAAATTATTGTTCTACTAAAAATTAGTTTTTAGTCAAAGATAGATTTTCTTTTTTTTTGTAAACGAATCATTTCTTTTTACTGAACAACACTTTTTTTGAAAAACAAAATGTCTGCAAAAAATTAAGCATCTAACTTCGAGAAATCAATGACAGATTCAAATTGCTCCACTCTAATTGCCTTTGGTCCAACTTGATAAAACTAGAAGTATTTTTTTTTCGTAAAAATCCCTTTTTCTGACCAAAAGAATCCAGCTCAAAACTTAAAAAAACTGATTACATCCTAAGCCGATATGGATCAGTATAAATTATTATTAGCCTAATGCCGGTTACTAATTGGGCTAGTTCCGATAAGAACCAGTAGTAATCGATGAACCGGGAGGCCGTTTATCGTCATCATCGCATGCTCAGCTATAATATTTGCTCTTATCGTTCATATTTATTTGTATAGAAATGGAATGATTATAGTTTAAGATGGAAACCAGAACAGTTTGGTAATATTCAAACATTAAGAATACCAAGTACACAAATTTGGACACCAGACATTTTTCTATACACCACGTTATTATTTTTCAAAGAATAGACATCTTGAAAAATTATGCCTTTTTTTTTCAGTGTCGATGACAAGTTCGATACTACAACGAAAGTCAATGCCGTTGTGCAATATGATGGTGAAATATTATATGTTCCACCAGTATTATTCAAATCAATTTGTCCATTTAATATTGCCTCGTTTCCATTTGTAAGTACAAAAAAATAGGTCAGTCATATCGTACTTTTATCTTGAATATTTGCCTTTTTTTGGATACACAATATTGTACGTTGAAATTTGGAACTTGGTCATATGATGATGCCGGTATGTGATTGAATCATTTTTTCTAGGATGAGATGCCAAAATGTTTCTGCATATTATATGCTTTTTTTTATTACTTAGGAGTCAATCTGACGGCAGAAAGTAGTCAAGGTCAAGTAGATGCATATGTCGAAAATGCCGAATGGTATTTAGAAGGTAGTTGATATGAGTTATGTGCATTATATTCTATTCACTCTGTTTTAGATTTCTCTGCGACGAATAATGGCACCAAATATGATTGTTGTCCGAATGTGTACCCATACGTACTATACACTATTCGAATGCGTCGACGTTCTCTTTATTACTTTACAAATATCGTCGGTAATAAAATATAAATTACAATATTTCTTTCTAATCTTAATCTTAATATTATTGTTTTTTCGTTTCATAGTACCTTGTTTTCTTATCAGTTGTATGACAATACTTGGATTTTTATTATCACCGGATAGTGGTGAAAAATTAACCTTGCGTGAGTTAGAATTTGATGATAAAAAATGTGTTCTTATACATTTTAAATCTTCAGAAATTACAACTCTGCTAAGTGTTATTATGTTCAGTTTACTTCTATCAGAAATTCTGCCATCAAGTTCAACTGCTATACCGATTATTACTGTTTATTTCATGTGTGTTATGATCATGACAGCAGTTTCAGTTGTTGCATCAGTATTAATACTATCTCTTCATCATCGAAGCCCTAGTAATTATGCAATGCCATCATGGGTAAATCATATTTCAAAATGTATAAATCACATGACTTTAAAAATCCTTTTAGGTTCGTAAGTATATTTGTAACTATTTGGCGTGGCTATTACATATGAAGCGTCCTAATCATGATTTGACTTGGCGTGCGATTCGTCGTCGATGGGCTTCTCCAAAACAAGAATCGGATAATTTACTTGAAACGATTGATAATCATCAAACTAAGATTCCTTCTGAACCATTATTCGATAATACATTCGAGTTGTTATCAACCAATGTTATAAATATCGACAAGGAACCTTTAGAAAATCAAGAAAAACAACACTTAGATTCGATATTAGAATCTGCTGTACCTCGAGCAGCGGAAATTCATGGTCCTGATTATCATCAGAAAACATCTAATGAATTATACACATGTGATATGGATACAGCTCATTCTGAGCTACGTGTTATTATTTCTCAACTTGCTATTCTTATTAATTATTCTCGACAAAAAGAGAAAGATGATAATGAATCTCAAGATTGGCAATTCGTGGCAATGGTTATCGATCGTCTTTGTCTAGTGTTTTTTTCTATAATCATGTTTCTTTTTACTGCACTTACTTTTCTCCACGTTTAACTATTTTTTACCTTTAATTTATTGCTTTTTTATTTGCTACTGAACCGGTTTTTATCTAAACCTTGTCTTTCGTCTTAAATATATATGCTTTAATAAACTCTATATAAAATATACTGAAAATTGTATACAAACTATTTGATCAATGAAATCGAGCTGCACTATGTACGAAATGAATGTGAACAGTCTAGAATGAATTAATGAGACCTATCTTGTATGATAGCATAGATTTTTTTTTCTTTAGGTTTCTTTTGATAAACATGAATACTCGACATAGAATAGTGCTAATAACAGTTCATAAATTTTTGATCTCTAATAATTTTTTCTATCAATTTTATTTATTCTTATCGTTAAATTAACTACTTATTTGATTCTTTTTTCAATATTTGAAAACAAAAACCATACAAACAGATTATGTTTTCTCATTTCACGCAAGTAGAATATTGTGAAAAAATCAATATTTTTTATACTTTGACTCTATTTTAAAAAAGTGAACTTCATCAATATTTAATCACTTCGAAAAGCTGCAGTTGAAAAGGTTCGTATGTTACTTTCTTGCAAGTATCTCAACTATTTTTGACTAGAATATTGGACTGGCATTGAACTAGGAAATACTATCGTTCAAGTATTGATTTCTCTCACAACTCTATTAGATGTCTCGGAAGCTTGACTCTCGTGCATAGTTAACTGCTCAGTTTCATAATCGGTTAATACTATTAAAACTCTTCGGTTTCTACATTCGAAGAAAAAATCTATGACAAATTAACAATGAGTGGTTATTGAAGATTTGTATACAATCAAATCTACAGTTATTTTATAGTAAATGAGGATTTATTGGATGTGACAGATTCGTTTTCAAACTCAGTTCTTACTTGTATTTCATTGAAATACTCATTATCCAATCTTCAGGTTAAATGCTATAGGTCTAATCGAAGTTCTTCAACACTAAACTATCTTGCATATGTTAGTAAAAGGCGGTAATGTTTAGTCATATGCAATACCAGAAAAATCTCTCGGCTTCAGTTCCAATAACAAAAGAATGCAGGTATGAGTGAATATGAAAAAAACTGCAAATCTTCATATCCAAGTGTCACACTCTCAAACACAATGATAAACAGTATATAACAGATGACCAAAATAGAGTAAAATGATATGAAAGATAGTGCTAATTGATAGAATTAGTTGTGTAGATAAAAGTTCTATAATGATATGTGCTATTATCGCTTCCTTCTTGTATTATTATCATTCTAATGAATTTTCAGCCTTGTAGAAATATTTTCCTAAGAAAAATAATAAATCAATCCACATAATTATAAAATCAACATTTACAAGATGCACTATGCATTTCGACTAGGATAGGTATAAACGATGGAAAATTATTCGAAAAATGATGATCGGCATTTAAAAAAATCCAAGACTAATCAGAAGATATGAATACAGATTTTTTTGGGCGTCTATAAAGAAGATATATGAAAATCAAACCACAACTATATATCAATGGCTAATACCAAATTGAAAAAAAGCTACATAGATGAGCAAAATTCTTAAAATCTCAAAGAGTATTTCTACAAATTTAACCGAGTTGAAGATAAACATTGCATAGTACATCTTAAAACATACATCTATAAATGAAGAAAAAATCTAGGATGAATAAGCACATAAATAATATAGGAAAACAATCAAAAAATGGCTTGAACCTGTATTTTACTCAGTTAGTATTTATGTATAGCGAACGAAGAAGTTTAATTAACCCTTTTTATGGTAACCGAACAAAACTGTCAATGAAACTGGTATTCATTTTGGTGAATTCATTTATTTATTCTCTATGTTCTTAGATATTCGAACTCAGGATTGTCTGTTTCAAAGCAAATATATTATCTACTAGATTAATTGGCCAACTATAATTAAAAACAAAAATACAATATAAATTGAACAAAACAGTAGATTAGAAAAAATTATTGAGAAAATGATATGTCATCTAACCTTTTATTTTAATTACTTGTTTCGATTTATATTCAGTAGAAAAATGATTATGATTGAGATGTCAATGTAATCTTTATGATATAAAATTAGTATTTAATGCATTTCCTCTATTTAAAAAAAATTTTCATTTTTCGTCAATTAGCTTCATATTTTTTCTTACTTTATGAAGAAACAAAACGATTTATTCGCCTTTATCATTGAGTTTAAAGAATTATTAAGATAAATTAACATTCATAGTTATGGCAAATATCTTTAGCTATATCAATCATATGACTTATGATCACATAGTTCAGTGTTCGTTTCTTTTATTTCATTCTCTATCTATTGTAAGTTATTATAGTGTCTATCATAGTGATATTATTGATCTAACTATACAAGTATCACTTATAATTTATTTTTGTTGTTTTTATTAGCGTACGGAAAACAGAAACTTCTATATATTAACAGATAAATGCTCAGGGTTGGAAATAGATGCTGATAAAAGCCAGTTACAGATCATGACGCCATGAACCATTTTCTAGAGAATATGAAGAAAAACTATCTCATTTCGAATGAATCCATTTATTATCTTTCTAAATAAAAACACAAAAGAAATCATTTTAATAGTTAATGAAGCGGTTCAGAACATTTTCTACTGACAACGTATTCTTGGCGATTATGAATGTATTCAGTAAATTATACAATGCATTATGCATTGACAAAATATCTTTTACATTATCTAACAAACGCTTTCTCTTCCATTTTTTTTCTTATGAACATTTTTCACGGAGTGATCCTGCCCCTGTTTAAAATGATATTTGAAGTTGGATACAACCATGATTAAACTATTTACCAATAATGTATTGCAAATGAAAACCTGGCTATTTTTTTGTGTTCTGTGTGATGAATTAGTAATAAAAAGTGAATCCATGACATTCGTGCACATTCATTCGAACAATCGATTGATTTATTATTGTCATTGACTAAGCTAATCGTCTAATACGGAATAGAACAAGCAAAATGACAGTATTATGTTTACAAAATAAAAAAATATCTCACTGAAATATCATGCTTAGTTAAGTCATGCATAAAAACAATCGTACAAAAGTCAAGTATATATACATAGGCAATACAATAAATTACTCATATATAAAACAGTGTCAATACAATATAGTATTATTTTAGTCGTAACTACACTGTAATTCGTACTAATACAACGAAATAATGTATGTGCTTTTGAAACTACACCTGCTTTAGAAGGTCTTGTTTAGTCATCACTATGAAACGAATTTTTCTGTCATCAAGTAGTACCATTAATCTGGTATAGTGTTACTTTCGTATCATGGCACTTAGGGCAAGCCAAAAGTAGTAGTGGAAGTACTTTATCTTTGTATAGAAAGCTTAAAGAAATTTTCTTTTTTTTATCTGAAGATAAAAAAAAAACCTATGCTTTATTCTTCTGTTCTATTTGACTATACTCTTCAACAAATATCATAACAATGAAACTTCGATAAGAACTAGTCTTGTGCTCTTTCTAAATATGAACTCAGAAATTGTGTATCTGGTTTTTTGCTCAGATGTAGTGAGCAAGTTTTTGAAAGGATTAAAAATTTAGTTTGGACAGAAGTTTTTTTCGTACGTTTCCACTATTGGTATTCAAAACTAAATGTTGAAACTTTTCTTCATATATCAGCGTATAGAGCTAATTTGGTCCTACAAAATTGGTATTTGCTCTTTTGCTTTTGATGTTCTGATGAAGCACCTAAAAAGTTGTTGTTTATCTACCGCATTTTTGAAAAATCGATCGTGAAAAGGTTTATAGTTTCACTTATGTAAGATTTACATTTAAATTGGACATCACATTTTGTAAAGAATTGTGTGCCGTACAAAATTATCAAATTCAACCATTTTTAGCATCTTTGCAAAGAGACTTACGGGAGCAGCAAATGCATGTTTGTTCGCCACTCTTACTATAAGTTTTCAGCACGTTCAAAGATTCCCTCGGCACTCTCGAGAAAAAGCAGAGACAAAATTCCTAAGACCATAGTCGGAAAGATCACAAAATTCTAGTCATAGCTCATTATTTTTCATTCCTCTAGAATCATTTCAAGAGAGTCAAAAGTGTCGCTAAGTATACGTTTGCTTGTTGCTGATGATGCTGAATGGAATGTAATATTCGTGTAACATATCCTAATTATGGATACATATATGAATGCCTTTTCCATCGTCTTAATACATATTTATCATTACAATAATTCATTTTCCTCTTCATATATTCAATTACTTCGTCATATAGTTCATCAACCATTCATCATGCTCTTAAAAGAATGTGAATGTTAGTGCCTATAAATCTTCTCGTCAGTCAGCCATATCAACACTCACACTCCACAATGAAATGATTCGAAATATGAACGGAGAACATGTTTCAAAAATTTATATAAAAATAAAACTCAGACAGTAACTATACAGAATCGCTTTTCATGTTCCTCAAATCAAACAGATCTTATCTCTATTGCTGAGTCATAGGAACTGTTGATGTTTAATATATCAATAATTCATCAGACTATGAATGGTTTCTAATTTTGGTATCGTATTATCTATATGTTTTCATTCAAAAAACATTAATGCTCATTATTGCTTTTTCAATGAAATATGGAACGATGAATATTAGTGTGCAAATATAAAATTGATATGTTTCTTCATACACATTTAAATATATTGCCGTTTAGGACAAAATCAAATCGATTGTACCTCATTTCAGGTCACCTAAACTCGAATATATATGCTAATAATAACGATTATTGTATTTATATCGAACAGAAGCTCGTTTTGCATCTAACTAGATGATTGTTTTTTTTTAATCACTGTAGAAATTTTTTATAACATGATGAATATATTTATTATTCTACTTTTTATCTTCTATCCTATTCATGATGTTGATGGATATGGCGTTCGAGGACAAACAAGATGGCAAATTATTCTATGTAAATTTTCTGACAGTCCAACGCCGAAATATACACAGTCAGCAATTAAAGAAAAATTTTTAATTCGCGGCACTGGAGGTATGGCTGATTATTGGCATGATATATCAAATGGTCTTATTAATTTTGGTTCATCAAGTGTCAATGGTTGGTATACAATAAGTGAAACAAAAGATCAGCAAGTGAAAAAATCCAGAAACCAACGATTCGATGATTGTGTCAAAGCTTCCAAACTATCGATACCATCAACGACACGCATCATAATTATTACCAGTCCAGGCATTGACTTATGGGGTAGTAATAAACGCGTTTATTGTGGCGAAGATAATGATTTATCACTAGTAGCTCATGAAATGGGTCATGGCTATGGTCTCGCTCATTCATTTTCCGATGATCCCACCTACAGAAATATTGAGTGGGCACAAATTGGCGAGTATGATGATGAATGGGATCTCATGAGTGTTGCTCATGTCAAAACGATACATACAATCAAATATGGTTGGACTCCACCTGGATTAAATGGCTATGGTTTGGAACGACTTGGTTGGATTCCAATTCATCGTATTTATACATTTGGAGCAAAAGGCGAAGCATCAATTACATTGACTTTAACGACACTTATGAATCCAGCATCCGGTTATCCACAGTTGATACGTATACCATTCGATCCATCGAATTATCAACATTACTATCTTGTTGAAATGCGTTTCAAAGAAAAGTGGGATGCTGGATTCGATCGAAATGATGTATTCATACATGAAATCCAATACAATTCAGCTGATAAAATTTATCATTCATATCTTCTTCGAACACGTGGTACATCAACACGTGATCCTGTTGCATCTATGAATATGAACAATGTTAAAATTACAACTGGTGTAATCAATGTTCGAACACGAACTGTTTCTGTTCATATTGAAAGTAATATTGCAGATCGTTGTCTTCAAGGTTATGTATGGCGTGAAGCAATACCAAGCGATCATGTATGTGTTACACCAACAATACGAAGTCAAACATGGGCAGACAATGCAGCTGCTGCTTCACGTCGTAATCCATTAGGTGGAGATTATGGTGTAGATACATGTAAGCAAGGCTATGTTTGGCGAGAAGCTTATTCTTCTAACGATCATGTATGTGTATTACCTGAAACTCGAACTCAAGCACGAAATGATAATAATCAAGCTGCTAATCGTCGAAATCCAAGTCGTTTTGTCTATGGACCATTGACATGTCAAAATGGATTTGTTTGGCGAGAAGCTGATGATTATGATTATATATGTGTAACACCAGCAACAAGACGACAAACATCAGCCGATAATGCAGCTGCTTCATCACGTAGTCGACCAGGTCATACATGTATATCAGGTTACTATACAAGAAATGCTTATCTGAATGATTTTGTCTGTGTTACCGTTGGTGTTAAAATACAAGTAATCATCGATAATTTAGCTGCTACGAGCCGTTGGATTTATGGATAAAGATATATGTATTATGAAGCAACTATCAAATCCTATTGTCATTTTAAAAATGATAAATAATCACGGACAAATATATATACTGCTATTGAAAACAAAATCTCTCATAGGAAGTAAAGAATTAAAACAAGAGAACTCATTTTCCTAAATCCTGCAAATACTCACAAATATCTATAAATAACTAGAGCCCCTATTCTCATTTTGCTTTTATTCCGTCATCATCGCATAGAAACAATATATCTCTACTAAAATCAAATGTAAATTTATTCATAATCATAATATTCATGCGAATGTATTAATAATAAATAATCCTAAAAAAAACGCTTATTTATCGCTTATAGTTTTCATTATTTGAGAGAAACTTCCTCAAAAAAAAAAACTTTAATTTTTATACTCATAAAAGTGATAGCTATTGTCTCTAGAACCATGGAATATATTCCTGGATCAATTACTCGGATTGATTAGGATTCGAAATCATGTAATCAGTAAAAGTAAAAGAGATACCATTTAAAAATTTGTAGTACTTATTGACTAATTACTTACTTCTGCTGCAAAATGTGAGAAAGTATAGTGCTTAATACGTAGAATAGTGGCTTTAATTGTATCATTAGGTAGTGTATCTACGCTAGTATATATTCACAAAATTTCATGCCTAAAATCATTGATGTTGAGTAATGGCGAAAAATGCAATCCATGAAGCCTTCATTGGTTATCGTCATTTTTTACCTGGAAGTGCTTTGAATATGATTTCAATATCTTAATAGGAGAACAGTTTCATAAGAGAAACTTTTTGGCATTTTTACATCTTACTTGGGACTACACACAGTCAAAATTTTTAGTATCAAAATGTGAATAACTTACTTGTGTAATATCTTCAAGATCATTGAAATATATGTAAACGATGGAAAGAGTCGATCATAGTCGTGTTAAATCGTTCCATATGCCACAATATATACCATTACAAATAGTTAAAAAAGCGAATGATATTTAATATTCAAATGCTCCCTCTCACGTTCTAGTAACGACATAATCTATGAATAGTAGAGATTATCTAGAGAACACAAGATATTATCAGTTAAAACGCTTTTGAACAGATCTATATTCATAGCAGCAGCATGAGCCCTGCATCGTAGCGAACATATTTCATAGATCTATTTTAACTTCAAGATAATTTTCACTGTTTGAATGATACTACGTGTCTCGGATCTTCTTATCTGTGTAATTCTTATTCAGATTATCCATTCAATGATGACGAAGCTTTTTATAGAAATCATAGTAACATATGCGACATGAATAGTTTCGTTGAACGCACAGATGTCGAGAAAACTCTTTGTCATAGTTCAACTTTGAAGCAGATCAACTTTTCATTGCAAACATCACCAAAACATCCTCCGCTTGAAAAGAAAATAAATGATTACAACATGGAACGACATCCATTGGCACATGACATTAAATCTACGTTTTATGATTCCGTATGGCCTCGGTATTGTAATCGAGGTCTCTATGTTCGTTATCGATTCGAAAATAATCATAATAATAAAAAATATATATGCTTTTGTCCACGGAATTATTATGGCGATCAGTGTGAATATTAAAATCAACGAGTTAGTCTTACATTGCAATTGAAAACAATCGATCGACATGGTATTTATGGCATAGTTGTTAGTCTAATCGATGATAACGATGACAATGTACAACAATCAATCAATTCCTATTATCAGTCTATATACGTACCAAATTCCAATTGTCAGGAGATACACAACATTTATCTCTTGTATTCCAAACGATCGAAGAACGATTCAAAAAATTACAGTATTCGTATTGATGCATACGATAAGACGTCATTGATATATATTGCAAGTTGATATTTGAAAATTCCATTTCTATTTCTACCTGTCAATCGAATGGCTATCATAGTAACTGTACCAGCACATCACGCACCCAGTCCCGTCTATTGTCCTCTAACATGTGATCATGATCAGTGTATGAAATATAATAATGAAGCAATGAAATTTTTCTGTCGATGTCATTCAGGTTGGTCCGGTGTGCATTGTCACATACCTATTCGTTGTGATGATTGTTCATCGGATTCGATTTGTCTTGTTTCAATTAATAATCGATCTATCTATTTATGTCCTTTGAATAAAGTTGATCCACGTTGTTTATTGACAGATTTATGTCCGAGAAATTTCTGCAAAACTCATGATCATTGTATTGTAATCGATGAACCAACCGACAAGAATAGATATGTTTGTATTTGTTCTGAACAATTCTATGGACCATAATGTAATTTGAAAATGAAGGAATTAGACATTTCTCTTCATGATATCGAAGTTCCATCATATCTATTGTATTATGTTGTTTCGATAACTTCTGGTAAATTATCAAACCATATTATATTACAAAAACTATCGATCTTCCAACGTACTACAACACTGTATTTATGGTACAAGTATTAAATTGTGTTTATCAAGATCTATCGAGTTAATTTTTTAGCTGTTCTTCAAGAACTCACATCAGAAAATATTTCTACTTCAATCAATCCAACACAACGATGTGCTCCGATCGAAGAACTTTTAGAATTTCAACAATTTATACTACCGAAAATTCGACGAATGAAATTTTATTATAGATTAGGTCAAAATTATCAAGATTTGATATGTTTTTTCGATGAATCATTCATGTGTTTGTTTACATTCGAACGTCATATTAATTGTTTTAAATTCGATCATCATTTAAATCTCACATATCAAAATGGAGCAGAATATTTGGAAGATATTCCTACTTGTCCATTGACAATAATATGTGTTTGTACTGATTGTTTCTTCGGTGATCGATGTTAATTTTATGCTAAAGGTATAAGATTAACATTTGATAATATGTCACGTTACAAAATACAACCGAACACGAAATTTAACAATCAACCATTTGTCATTAAATTCAGCACAATTCTTACGATGATCATGTTAACTGCAGTTTTGATCAATAGTCTTTTATCATTTTTGATCTTTCAGAGTCAAATTTCACAACAAGTTGGTTGTGGAATATATCTTCTTGCATCATCAATTACTTCTCTATCCACATTGATTATGTTTATAGTTAAATTCGGATTTTTTCGTTTTTACTCAAACCAATACATTAATTCATCGTCCTGTCATTCGTGCAGGTTGTATATTTATTGAACCTACTCTGAAATTGTTTTCATACATGGATAATTGGCTACATGCTTGTGTGACTATTGAAAGATTAATGACCGTATTTAAAGGAGTCAGCTTTAATAAGATACTGAGCAAACGTATTGTTCGATTTATCATTGTCTTCTTACCATTCTTCATTCTGTTTAGTATTATTTACGAGTTTTTCTATCGTGATTTGTTTGACGACAATGAAGAATAATGCATATTGTGTGTAAGTCATTACTCATACCATGTCCAATATTACAATACAGCTTAGTTTGTTCTTTCATTTTCTTGGCTCATTTTATTGCGAATCTCTTCTCGACTCTTTACATAATATTGAAAGGTGCTCATCAACAAACATTGATTCGAGCTCAACAAATCTTTCGACAACATCTTCGTGAATAATTCAATGATCATAAACAACTTTTTTATTAGTTCTATCATTCTATAGTTATACTTTCGTTACCTCGTCTGATTATTTCTTTATTGCCCGGATGCGTGAGTAAAAAAGTCTCGCAATCCATGGTTATATCTTTCAGGCTATTTTGTATCGTTCATTCCATCAGTTATTATATTCATTATATTTGTGCTGCCATCCAGCTTTTATAAGAAACAATTCAATGAATCACTAAAATATTGGCGACGAAAAACTCATCGATAATCATGTTTCCTCAGGTTTTTCGAATAGACATCATATAAACAAAAAAGATAGAAAGAGTTTTTCTTTTTATATTAGAGTTTTAACTATTTGAATATTCTTTTGATATTTTTCAATAAGATTTGTACTGTCAATACATATCGATAATGACTCATCTTGTAGAATAGTATTAAGTGCTTTTGTATAGTTGTTTAATGCCATTTGTTTATCGTTCAACTTTTGATAGGTTTCTCCGATGGCATTGTATGTTTGCGAAAGACTTTGGAAATTGGATTTTGGTGTAGTTGTCAATTCAATATGAAGACATTTATTATAATACAATAGAGCATTTTTATATTCGCCGTTTTGATAATATGCTTTTCCAAGATGATAATACAATATCGTAAGTGAAGATTCCTCTTCTTTGTTAGCCTGATATATGTTTAATGCTTTCTGTAAACATCGAAGTGCCTCTTGGTAGTAGTTTTGATCATAATATTCGCTACCAAGTTCTTCATACAACGTGCTCAGGTAACCTTGATTTATGGGTGGGTTTTTGATGTAAATATTCATCGCTTTCTGGAAGTTTGACATAGCCATTGGATGATTGTTAGTATCGTGGTACACTCGCCCAATAGCTCGGTAAGCTTCTGCTAGATCTGAATGAGTTGAAGGTAAGGATTTCAATGCAATTTCTAATGCTTTCTCACAGCTACTTAGTGCTCTCTCATAATTTCCCAAACATCGACAAGCAGAACCAATATTTCCATGAGCTTCGCCTATTTCAGGATGAAACGGTGGCCAGCATTGTTGACCAATTTTCAAGGAGTTTTCATACATTTTAAGGGCTGTTTGATAATCTTTTTTTTCGAAATAGATATTGCCTATGCTATTATAAAGCATAGCTATATGAGGATGAACAGGAGGCAAACATTTCAATTGAATTTCTAGTGCTTTTTCAAAATGAACTAATGCTTTGTCGAAATTCGCTCGATGATACTCCGCCGTTCCGAGATTATTATACATTTGTGCAAGATCTGGATGATATTCAAATGGTAGAGATTCTTGTCGAATAGCATTTGCTTCCTGCAAATATTTTTCCGCAGTTTTAGAGTTGAATTTTTTCAAGTAAAGTGTTCCAATATTGTTGAGTGATAAAGCAATGCTTGGATGATTAGAAGGTAGAACTTTTTTATCGATTGCCAATGAAATTTTGTAATATTTCAATGATAAGGATAGTTGACCAATTTTTGAATAAATATATCCAATATTATTACATATTTCAGCTCGTTTCTTAAGAATTTGAGTATTTTTTGCTTCTACTTGAATACAATCTAGTATTTCTAAGATAAATCGGTATAAAATCAATCCTAATTTAAATTTTCGACGTTCAGCATAAATAGCAGCAATACAATTGAGAGTTTGAGTGAATAGAAGAATATTATTTGGAAATGCTTCGAGTTGTAATGTAAGCGATTTTCTTAAATAATTTAATGCAAGTTTTGAATTTTTTTGCATTGACAGTATAGCTGATCCTAAACCACTATAAATTGCTGGTATATCACGATGATTCGATGGAAGTTCGGCTAATAATAATTCATAATAAGTTTGTACTTTATCATATTCACCCATGTCTTGTAAAATTTTTCCTAATGCTAAATAACCTGAAGCATTATTAACCTCTTTCATTAAATATTGTTTCAGATGATCTAATTTTGCCATTTCATGTTCACTAACTAAAACTAATTTAACGTACCAGACGAAATCATTCAATAGTTCTATAGTTTCAATACGAAAGACAGTTCCCATACAGAGAAGAAGTTCATTTTCCGATCCAAACTGACTAACAGTGTTCATATTAGCAAACCGTAGTGCACTAATATTCAAAGATAGTTCTATTTCAAAATATACCGATTCAAACGTTGGACGTCGAGATCCATCACCGGCAAATTCAAAAGCTACTGTACTTGAATAACTAGTGGAAAAGAAGGTGTTAATCGAAATGAAACCATTTATATTATTTTTAAGTTTAGTAAATTCGTCTGCTGCCATCAATTGTCCTCGATAAACTGTTATGACTTTTTCTTTTGATGTTTTTAAGAATTTTCGATGAATCTTTGTCAATTGTTGATACATATCAATAATGAAAAATCGACATTTAAATATATATAGTATATTTTGTGTTCGTAAAGCTTTATTTACAATACGATACAGGAAACTATCTCGAGTATACCATGAAAGAACATTAGATGAATTATAAGTTTTTTCGAATTCCGTTATTTTTTTTTGTTGATAATTATTATTTTGATAATGTCGTCGACATTCTTGAATTAATTCATCTTTTGATCGTGTCGTTTGAGGTAAACGAACTAATATTTCGATTAGTATTTGTGACCACATAAATTTGACTTGATCGTTTGTCAAATCTTGAGTAGATCTTTCACTTGTATCGACTGAATTAATCACACTTACTACAAGATCATTTCGAAAAAATGATGAAACATCTTTTGTTATTTGTGTAACTAGTTCATGTTCAGCGGTAAAAATACCCATAATTTTTGAATGATTTTTCGACCAAATTTCATGTTCACGTTCATTAGAACAAAATATGTAAATAGAGAAGATTTGAAGATAATTATTCAATTCATTGATAATAGTCTTTCCCAATAAACCAGACGAGATCAAAAAGATTTTTTCTTCTTTAATACTTTTAATATAATCAAGACATTGATTAGTATCATTGAAAGTTTTCAAGCAATTAATTATTTGACTTAGATGATTTTTTCTTTTCGAAATATTTTCTTCCATATGATTAATATTTTGATCAAGCCAAATAATAATTAAATCTTCAATATTTGCTTGTTCTTTCTCTTTTGATATTTGTCTATTATGTGATGTTAATAATGGTCTGCATACATTGAGATCAACAGTAGTCTTACGACGGTCATATGTTGTAAATGTTGCTGAAATTGGTCGATTTCTTTTTCTTGAAGTTGATATTGAAGATGTTGCATCGAGAAGAGCATGGATTTTGAGAGTTAAATCAATAGGTATTAATACGGAGCCTGTTGGAATATATTGGCGAGCTGTCATTTCTAAAATAGTAGTTTTGAAAAGTAGTAAAAACTTGTCACTACTGTCGGTAGACTACTTTGCTATGAAGAAATAGTAAACATAAAAATATTGATGCCATTGTCACAATTGACTTTTGAAGGACATATACATGTGTGCCGAGAAAAGAAACATTCTGTATTATAAGAAACGAAAGAAAATGAGTTGAGACATTTTTTTATTATTATGCAACCATAGTAATATTTATTTCATTTTTCTCTCTCTAACGTTGACTTTTGCAACAGATAATATGAAATTATCAAGAGCCGTTAATTCTATAATAACTGCATACAAAGAGGTACAAACGACATGTTGATGACAATTTTAAAATACTTTCGTCAAAAAAAATCTTGACTATTGACTATTAGAAGATTGGTAAAAGAAATAGTTGTATTGTTTACATTTTAGGTTTTGGAAACATAGCATTAAATATCTTAGTCAATATGGTGTTCTTAAGTCGAGACTGCTTTGAGTGAGATGAGCAATGGTTTAATTCAATAGCAAACTAAAAAAATATTCTCTATTTACTTCATGCAGTCTGTGCAACAACATTCGTCTAAACTTTATTCTTTTATACTGCCAAGGGATCTTCCAACCATTAGAATAGATAATAGGCCAAAGTCATTGGATCAGAATCTTTTAGAGTTAACGTGGCAATCATAGTTAGCTTGACTCATTACTCTCAAGACCAAATAGCAACGTTTTTCGAGAAAAACTATTGCGCTATAACAAAATGAAAGGCATCAGCAAACTTTATTTATTGTTTATTTTTGTTCTTTCTACAAGCTCATGAGTCTTGATGCATACACAATAACCATTGCATCTTCGACATTCTCATGAACCGTCTTCTCTTAACTATATCATTTTCCATATGCAATATTTGTATAAATTCAGAACAACTGTTATAATTAGAAATGACGACTCTACGTAATAACCTGACGCTATCTATAGAGATCAGTTTTCAACAGGCACAAAACTAAAAGAAGAAAAATTGTGAACAACTGTTCTTATTTACTCTTTCTATTATAAGAATAACAATAAATCGAATTTAATGATCTCTTTTACAAAAGGAAAATCAATCGAATATGAGAGAAATTTCGTCGATAAATAAATGAAGTTCTTGTTCTCTTCTATTCTTGATCACCTTGTTTTACTTAGTTCTTTCTATTGCGGTTGAAAAGAATATTTTCTTATAGTAATCACGTACTATTGGTTCTATATAAGACTCACCTTCGACTCAATTCGACATTTAACAATAAACAATAAGTAACAAACATCTACTTTCTATTGTTAATAAAACATCTAACATGTCTTCATCTGGCCATCATTCAAGTTCTAGCCGGGATACAACACAACATTCAAGTTCTTCATCTGGTCATCACTCAACTTCTAACCGTGATAAAGTACAACATTCAGGTTCATCACCAACGGGTGGATCAGGAGGAGCTGATACAACTGGTCAACCAAGTAGCATAAGTGAATCAGCTGGTCATGGATATAGTGGATCAACTGATACTGGCAGCTCAAACAAAGCGGATCAAAGTGACATGAGTACTGGTAGTAGCTCAGGTAAATTAATGATTTTATTTTTATTCTAAAACTTCACTTTTCTGTCGCATATAATTGACAGGAAAACGGCGAATGAAGCAATCAGAAAGTTGTGTTTTTATCTTGAAAAACTATCGAAGATATCAGAAAAAGCTTTTTCAATATAATTCAAGCTATATTATTAGAGTTTCTTAATTGGTTTTGAGTAAAGATTTTATTTCATTCGAACGAATTCTATTCTTTTTTATAACCTTAGCTGTAATATATTATGCATTGATCTGTTAAAATTTTGTCATTCATTACTCGTTTCATCTTTGTTCTCTCAGCTATTTTCTTCATAGAATAAAATATTGTATAATCTATTTTGTATTGCTTTATTGTAGGCCATGATATAGGAGAATCATCTGGTCAAGGTGATAGTTCAAGTGGTTCCAGCACAAACAACAATCAACATCAATAAGCATCATCGGCGAATATAGACATTCCAATGAACTTTCTTTCTAATTTTCTTTCAGCAAACAAATATTACTTTATTTTTTGATCAAGCTTAATAAATATTTTTATCAATTTAAATTCTTTCTCTTGAATCAATGCTAAGTAGAAAATTATATAAGAGTTTTTTTCGATGTTATTGTTCTGAACAAAGATAATGATAAATAATAATGTCTGAAACATTATATAACAGAGAGAGAGATTAGTGAGCCTTTTTTTTAATTCAATCGATTTTTGAATAAATTAACATTGACTCAAATTGTTCTAAGATAGCAATAAATCTTTATAAAGATTAAACAAATAGATCTATTGAAATCGAGTCATGTTTTAAGCATATCTATACAAATATGTCGATGGTTGTTCTTGAAATCCACTAGAAATAATAATCACCTATGTTGAAAAATGAAATTGATGAAAAACAAAGTATAGAAAGATAGACTTCTTTATTTACGTCTACTGGTGTTTGTTTAAAGTGGTTGAAAGTCCATGTTTGTACACTTGCTTGATTTATACCGAATTTCTGCTTATATCTCAATAGAACACATTTATATACCGTCTTCGTCTAAGGCATTAAATGTATTGTCATTAATCAAGGAATTTCAAGAAGTAAGACCTTTATATGGAGATAAATTTTCGGCATTTCTACACCTATACTAATGCAAAAAAACACTATGAGAACGTTTGAGTAGCCAGACAAACGATGTAAGCCTAGAAAAAGATGCAACGAAGCTTGAATTAAATTATCCTACACTGTGAAAAGTACTTGAATCATGACCAACGGAAAAAAAATTCTTAAATTCAATATCATTCAATCTTCACACAAAGCAAATAGACGAATTTTATCATAGTAAATCTTAACAATAAATGATTGTACTATCTTTTTTTCTGCTACAAATAAGCATTTCAAAAAAAAAGCAAAGCAAATAGGTTAGCATTGCTGAATGAATGCAACTCTTCTCGATAGATTAGCTTCACAAGAAAGATAACGATTAAAAATTTGAAGAGATAATAATATAGTTATTTTGAATATAATATCTCTAGAATTTTTGCTATGCTAAATTGATTTCAATATGAAATGGTTTGATGACGTTTTCTCCCCAAAGTCGCTGTTGCAAAACACGTTCGTTTCTGATATTTGAGTCACAAGAGAATAAGATAATATGATCCGATTATCCAATATTTACATTTTGATATTGTTTCAACCGATCGAATGATATTGAATTAGTGATATGAGTTTGTCACCAAACGATGTTCTAGACCAATGTGTACACTGCAAATAAAATGAGATGTGAAGCAGAGTTGGAACCGGTCCGGCAATCCAGTTTCGGTCCGGTCGAACCGGACCGGACCGGACAAGATCGGACAAGAAGTTAAACCGGGCCGGACAGGACCGGATTTTTGCCAGTCCATCATTACAAAATTGTTGTTTTCACTCAAGAATTTTCTCTACTGAAAACAGTTTTTTTATGATATTTTCAAGTCAGAAGAATGTATTTGCGAAAAACTCAATAGATATCTTATCTTCAACTTGACTATAAACGATTGATTGTTCTCTTTATATCTCTATCGATTTCTTTCTCGTGTATTACTCAGTTTAATCTTGATCAAATAATTTATTCTCTTCTTCTATTTAGGCAGCTGCCTGAGTCAAGAAAAATAAATATTTACGTTTTTGCGTTAGATTTGTTATGAACTTGCTTTTTTTTTCTTTTTTGAAATTAAGATGAAAAACAGATTTGATCTGAATAGCTAATTTATATCGATGTTGGGCTCGGCAAGTTGACGCATCTTGCTATAAAATGTGAAGGGAGAGTTTCAGTTCCAATTTTCATTTCCAATTCGGATTAGGAGTGGCGATCTGCTGTTAATTTATTATAATTTTAAATTGGATTTACATAAATTTAAATAATTTTACAAAATTTAAATTTATGTAAATCCAATTTAAATTCACAATAAATAAAACTTTTTAAAATTTATTTTAAATTTCAATTTCTTAAAATTTATTTTTGGATTTATAAATTTTTCGTAAATGTAAATTGATCACCCCTAGTTCGGATTTCTGTATGTGAATATTCAATGTCCCCTTCGCCAACATTTTATGTGAACAGATACTTTTATGGTCGGTTATTTTCGCCGGATTTTTGCCAGTTTGGCTGTAAAATTCGTCCGACCGGTTGCTGGCCGGATCGGACCGGACAGAAAAAACCTGTCCGCTTCCAACTCTGATGTGAATAACTACTGATAACAATCATCATATCTACTAGATTTTGCTCTTTTTTTTCAATGAAAAAAAACACAATTCTATTTTGAATAACTATTTATCTATGGCGCGTAATAATCAATAAATAATGACATGAGCAATGTTCATTCTATCTAGCACTATAAACAGAAATTCTGACATAATTCAGCGTTCGCTTGAGACTATGGAGCTCAGATCGGAAGTCAATGAACCATTGCCTTCATGAGCATATAAAAGCATTGTGTCGGTCAAGCGTGGAATCATGGGTTGTTTTTGCAGTCTTTGATCAATAAAATTACCTAGTGATGTTCTGCTTGCTGGATCTGTGTAACCTATGAAAAATAGCAAATGAAAAAATAAAACAATATTCCAAACTAATGGAAAATGAAAAGCGCAAAGTGAACCTTGATTGCCTCGGTTCAAATGTTCATTCCAGATTTCTTCATTTGATATTGTATAAACTGGTTTCCTGAGTATACTCAAATTATACGATACATTATCTTCTTCACCAGTAATATCTCTATAACTAGAAAAAAGAGAAATCTTTATTTGACATTTCTCGTTTGTATCTTACTTATTGTCATCTGTAACATTGTCAATATTGTCAAAGGATGCATGTCTGTGACGTTTTCGTTGTTCTCTACGTCGAGTACACGTCAAATAAGTTATGGTAAGAATTGTAGCCATCAAAAGTAACACTAAAGCAATAATTAGCCATACATACCAAGGTACAATGACTCCTCTATCGTCTTTCGAAAGTCCTATAGTACAGGTATTAGTGATTGAACAATCACATAGACCCGATCGAGAATTATCTGAAGCAAACATAGGACGATTCATATCGAGATAAATACCATTTGATCGGACATTTCGAATACATCCACGAAAAGAATCAACATAAGATAATTTTGAATATAATGCATCAATTGGTGAATCTCTTCTTGGTAAACCACCAAGATACAATCGAACTAATGATCGATTATTATTATTAATCGAATTGTTATTCACCGTAATATCATATTGTTCATCGTTGACCATCACCAATATAGTATCGGCAACAAACTAACATGAAACATTGAAATTATAGTTAGTACGAAATCGTATCGCAATAAAATGGCTTACTTGATATTCGACATGATACCATTTCGATGCATCAATCATTAGGTTGGTATCGAACGATGGATAATCACGAAAGTGAAATCTTAATCGACTTGAATCGATCAGTTCGATGGCTAACCAAAAATAGTCGTCAATCGGCGGGGTTTCTCGACCATACAAGAGTAGAAGACCGACTGTCGACTTATTTGGAACAATAAAGTCGAAGGAAAATCGTGCTGGTGCCAAATTTGAAAATGTCGTTCCATCGAACACAGCATAACTATTACCAGTGTTGAGAAATGTTCGACCGAGTACTGCGCAATAAGTTCCGAGAGGTCCAAGTGATTGAACATCAGTACAAGGACAAGATATGGCATCATTGAACGGAACTGTTGAGCAACCAGATGGAAGAGGCGTCTGTGGAGAAGCGCTCCATGTACTATTTACACAATCGGGTGAATCGATGATATTAATGCCGACATATGAAGTCAAATTTGTATCAATCAAAAGAGGAAATGGTTGGATTGAACGACTTGCACTGCAAATTGTACCTAGAAGATTGAGAAAAATTTCCAATGCCTTTCATCTTTGTGACAAGCATAACTACCTGATGGACAAACGTAATTTCTGCAAGGATTTGGTCCAGTGGCGTTGACTGTGAGGCCAGACCGAGAAGTCAATTGAAGTAGATTATTATTTACAGTATTTTCAATTGCTTCTCGACTAGAAGATAAAATCGAGAAGATCACATCGGTAAATGCTGTTCGTTTAGCTTCGTCGAATGATAATGGAGGATAGATGGGATGTCGATACTGTGGTACACTTCGTATAGTCAATATACGAATCGAATCGATTGAAATGGTCAAAATTGATGCGAGTGCTTCACGTAATTGTCCAAGTCGATTACCGAATGATAAATCGACCAAAGTTTCTGGTGTTTCGCCTTGAATACGAATAGTAGCTGCTTCGCGAATCGATTCTATATCAATTTCAGTAACTTCCATATTAATTGAACTGCTTGCTGTGGATTGACTCGAAGTGAGATTTTTCGTAACTTGAATTACAATTGTATATGTGCCATTGGAAAGTGGTGAAGATGTACGAAGAAAACCTTCATTGACCTGGAATATTTGATTATTACTAACGCTTGTTATGGAATATGTATTACTAGCCAGAAACCAATCATCTGTATTGACTACGTAAATTGAACCAAGATTGACATTCTGTAAGGAATTTTCATAACCTTCTGCATAAGTAACATTGATCGTTTTCAAGCCATTGGAAATTGGATCATTGCCAGGAATATCTCCGACAATGATGGGTATTGATGTATTTGTTGAAATATCTTTCGCATCTTGACTCATAATTTTCACAGTTATATTCTTTGCTTCTGTTCGACTGAGTGTGCCATTATATCGAAGAACGAATGTATCACTATTACTCAATGTTGGAGAAATGTCAAATGTTGATGGTTCAAGTATTTGAACAATAAATCGAATAGTATTATTCAATGATTCATCATCAAAATCTCGAAAAACTATCGAAATATTTGGATATTGAACTCCTTCATTCATAATCCATGGGGAATTCTAAGATGAAAACAAAATGAAATATATATATGAGAATGACTCAAACTCGAAATAACTACCAGTGCAATTGGGATCGGTCCATTGTTGTTAATATCAACAACATTAACCGTTACAGGTGCATAACTCGATACACCAGTTCCATTTTGATTAGTCACACTAAGAGCAAAACGATATGTCGATCTACCGAATGGTGCATCACGAATAAGACCTGGTGATGCAATACCCATTGTTGCCTGATTATTCGATTCATTAATAAATACAGTTCGAAGAATTTGTTGATCATTCGAAACAATACTATATTTAAGTGAAAGTATTGATGGATTCGAATCATTGGCGACAATCTTCAAAAAAAGTCAAAGAAATAATATAAACAATTCATTTAAATAAAAAAATACAAAAGAGACCTGATTGGTATTTAATCTTGCTACAGGTTTATTTTCTTCAACTTGATATAAATTGGATTGGAAAAGAAAATATGGAGCATTAGCATTGTTGGATAATACATTTACAATAGCATTGAGTGTAACTAAATTATTTGTATCGAATGCAAATAGAACAAGATTGTATGTTTGTTGATCGACATAATCCAATGGACCGACAACAATCAATTGTACTGTTGCTCGATATTCTGTACGTGATGCATCATCTCCATTGTCGGATATCTTCACAAATGTAAAGATATTTTTGCTATTACCACGCAATATACCAAAATTCAGAATGGAATATGGATTGCTATCGGTGACTGTAATATTGTATATGCTTGTGCCACTAGTTGTGGATTCATCAATCAATAAATTGACAGTGGTTTGATTAAAGACTAAAAATATTCACAATCGACATCAATTTAATTTTAATGGAAAAAAATACAAAAACTCAGCGCAACAAAGACATGGTCGATATTATCTTTTGGTACATTTTTCGATACGTTGTCCACTCTTTCATAAGAACTAGGTTGTGAAATGTAGAACAGAAAATTCTGAAAAGCACAAAAGATTGATCATCAAAATCTAAAACGAAGTACCCTGAAGAAAAAAAAGCCAGAATTCAGACGTGTGAATATGGAAAAAAATGCTCTGAATTTTGTGATAATACATTTTATAGTAATTTAAGAAATGAATAAAAATAGAAAATGATATTCTCGAATGGTGAAGTTACGAGAACATTTCTTTTTTCACTTTTCTTCCTTTATAAATTCTTCTGACAGAAAGAATGTTTAATACATAAGTAAAATATTAGACATTAGTCTCGATGTTTACCTGGTGGTAGATCATTATTATCGATAATGTTGATATCTAACTGAAAATCTTCTGTATTATTAGTTGTCATACTCCAAGCTCGAGCACCGTCAAAAGCTGTGATAATGATACGATAAGTCGATCGATTCTGTCGATCAAAAGTGGCATTTGTTCCAACGGTACCATCAGCTAAAAGAAAAAATCGATTACGAGTGATCTCATCCGTTAGTTGATCGTTAATTCGATATTGAACAAGATTATTCGGCGAAGTTAAATCACGATCGAAAGCAAGAAATTGTCCAATATATCGTGTACCAGTTTGAGTTGCAAGAATATTAAGTTCTAATGATCGAACACTGAATTGAGGCATTTCATCATTTTCATCCCATAAATTAATGGTTGCCCAACCGAGCAGAGGTGGATTACTAGCAATACGCAAAATCAATAGATAGATTGCTTGAGTTTCGGCATCTAGACCGCTAAAAGACAAAGAATAAAATGAAATAGATAGTGGTCAAACAAAGGAAAGAACCGACCTCGTAACAGAAATTCCACTGGCAAAAACAAAATTATTTACAGTCGTTGTGATTTCTCGGAATGGTATAGTCGTAGTAGGAAATGGATTGGAAACATAAAACAAATAGGGAGATTGACTGTTTGATAGATATAAAATCGAACCATTAAAACCATTTTGACTATCTGATATGAGTTTTGTTGAAGAGCTTTCGAAATATTTTTCACTAATGTTTAAATTAAGTGCTCCATTGCTCGGATTGAGCCATAGAACAGATGGTATTGTATTGTTCGAAGCCAAATAGATTTCAACTGTCGCATTTGGTGAACTGATTCGAGATGGACTTCCACGATCTTGAGCGAAAACAGTAAAACGAATGGGAAATAAGGCAGGATTCACATTGGAAAATGTCACACCCGAAGCAAATCGAATTACGCCTGTGCTACTTTCTATAACGAAATATGCTTGAGTTAAACTAACAATGAAATAATTGATCATTCCACTAACACCAGCATCGAGATCAGAAGCGATAACACGCATTATTGTTGAACCAGTTGTTGAATAGATAGTTTGACTCCAATTTGTTGAAGTAAAAACTAAAATCAATTTTGAATGAAATGTCATGCAATTTGGAACGATAATCTACCTGGTGCATATTCATTGACTTCAATCAAATTGATACGTAATGTACAAAGAGCTAGAAAAGTGAATGTGATTAATAAGGTATATTAAGAAAAATATTGCATTACATTGTAACGATGGTGTACCCTGATCGCTGGCTAATACGAACAAATACCAGACACGAATAGCTCCTAGAAGATGATTTGAAATTGATTAAACGAAAATTCAATGAAACTTACCAAGTTGATCATAATCAAATGTTTCATTCGTTCGTAATTGAACCGTACGAATCTCATTAATTTGATTGAATTGATACAATTGAAATTTAGAATAGAAAGTCGATCTCGATTGAATATCGTTTGTACCCACAAGAAGTCTTGTTTGTCGTTGTTCTGGCGGAAATGAAAAACTTATTTGACCATTGTTACCTTGATCACTATCGACGGCTGTCAACGTAGTAATAATCGTACCCGGTGGAGAATCTTCTCGTAGAGAAAAAATTAAATTACAAGGTTGATCTGAAAATCTTGGTGGTTGTTTATTAGCCGTAGTAACAATGATGGTAATCGTTATCGAATTGCTACGTGCGGCACAACTTGGACATGGTAATGAACAGTCCGATGATGGCACATCGGTTGCAGTGACCGTAAGAAGAATAGGTGAGGATGGTGTTGATCCAAAAGCTTGACTTAAACTCAGAACTCCTGTGAATCGATCGATAGTGAATTGTGCCGATGCTGGTGTTAGAGCAAATGTAATCGGATCTTTATCGGCATCTGTCGCAAAAACTGTACCAAATGGTAATCCTAGAGATAGTGTTTCACTGATGGAATATGTTTGAATCGAATAGATGAATGTCGGAGCATGCGCATTACAATAATTCAAATCAATTTGTGCAATGGCTGTTGATGATATCGATGGACGACCAGGAAACAATTGCGTAGCTGTGATAGTGAATAAATATCGATGATAGGGTGAAAAATAGTTCAATGGACTATACAATAAATATAAAAACAAATTCTATACAGAGTATGAAATTCATTTTACCTGATATTGGTTGCAACTCGATAAGAAAAATTCGATAATTTTTCGATAAGAAATGCTGTGTCGCTCAATGTCACGCGAATATCAGCGACATTATCCAAAGTTCGACCAAGTGATATATAACCGGGTACTGTATTTTGTGTTTGAGGTTCGAGAGAAAATGTGAATAAAGTAGTATTGATTGGAGATGAAATTGAAAAATTCGATGCAGTTAGTTTATAGACAGGTTGATCAAATATAGGCCCATTGAAATTGGCATAGTACTAAGAATAAGATATTCGAATGATTCGATCGATTATGAAAACAGAAAAACATACAAATAAGTCAGCAATATTTCCTTGTACTACTTGAGCTGACACCAATATAAGATTGATTATGATTATTAAAGATGTTCGATAGAGCACATTCATCAGCAATGACATGTTGATTAATATCAATTGTTGTCTACATTATCCGTGCATGTTTTTTTTGACTATTGGAAAATATCGACTAAAAAAAGTTTAGCTAACAGATTTTCAAATGATAGTATCTCTGTGCTTTTTTTCTATTTGTAAATTTGAAAAGAAACTTTATAAGATTCTGTATTATCGATCTTACATTAGATTTATTACTCATTGTGCTTAAATGCTGTGAACAAGTATATGAATGATCAATTTCTATTCAGTAAGCATCCACTTCACACAGATTTGAATGTTGTGCAAATCAATCGGCATGGTATAACGTCCTTCAATTCGTCTTTTTTACAGTCTACCTAATTATACTCAGGGCTGTATGATTGTAAAACAAGGATTAGGTTTCGCTGTAATGTCAATATAAAATGTCGCATGTTTAACTTAAAACCGACGGATTTACGCCTGGTTATTGATGCCATATTATGAATCAATGTGGCTAATAAGAATTCACTTTGCTTGCTTCTTGAAACATGAGACAAATGAAAACAAAACAAGAGAGAACTAATGACATTTTCTGTTCTCCGATTGTATTCGTTGTGCATGAAGGTCACCTGAAGCAAACTACTGAATGATTATTTCTTATATTGACTTAATGCTATTAAAAATTACGAATAATTTAATTATGTCTAATCAGTCATTTTCTGATTACGTAGTTCAATTGAAATGCCTTCAAATTGACCCGTTGAGACTTTGGCAAAATCTATCATAGCTTCGATTTTAGACGATTCAAAAAATGGATATACTTACAAGTTTGAAAGTTGCCGACGTTCGATGTGAGTATTGTCAAAAGAAAACGCACATGAGATATGAAAACATGCTGACAAGAATTAACTATTATTTTTCTCATTCTGTTCACAAGGGTGTATAGCTTTTTTTCTTTTTCTTTTTCTCTTTCTGTTTTTTTTTCTCGCCAAGTTGTATTGATTTAATTGAAGGCTAACCAAACAAATACTCTCATAACAAACAGCAAGCAAAATTCATTTGTTATAATTGCAAAATGTTCAACGTTTCTTCAAACATGCTATGAAGAAATTCTTCAAAAAAAAAACAATAGACAAGTGCAGATACATTCATGAGATCTACTCAGTTGATCCGATGACTATGTCTCAATCTATTCAAACTTTCTAGTTTCATACAACCTTTTGTTCTAATCATTTTTTTTTAAATAGATTTTAGAGTTCCAATGTAGTTTAACAAACATTATTAATTTACTTTCATTTTTGTTGCATTAAATAAAAACTGCACTTTTATCTAGAAAGACTCACGTCATAATCCATAGGAATTTAAATAATCATTGTACACTTTTATACGAATCAATTTTAATAATTTGCTCTATATGCATCAATACGGAATCATTCACAAAGTTCGTTTTGTCCTTTTATTCTTATATATGGCAATTCAGAATGATCTGTGAAACGTGATACATGTATTTTTTTAGTTGATAGCAAGTGAAGTTGCTTTCATGATATCAACAATAAGAGCTTATCCGTATAGAAAAGAAACTTTGATTAAACTTCTGCCATCAATCAACAAATAAATCTATTCGATCGGACCGATGCGAAGATATTTCTTTCTTTTATAGTAGTGCTATTTAAAGACTACACGATATTTATCTGATGATCCAATCTAGTTTTCCTCGTCAAAAAGAAAATTGAAATGAACCAAAACACAGAAAGAGCAACTATCAAAATTATTTTATATTACAATTTTTCAGAAAGTTTCGATGAATACGTCCATGGGATCTTATAAGTCAGTTCAGTGACGATTTCATAATTCACTGAACGATTCAGAGTATGTAAAAATTGTTACATTTATTATTTTCGAACTAATTTATCTTGAGCGTGTGAGTATGAGTCTTCTTTTTATCAACACACAAATTCCATATTTCAAGACAAACTACCCACACATACTCTCTCCATTAGTTTTTTTTTTTTGACTATTTTGTTCGTTTGAGGTCATTCGTTAGAAAAGATTATTTGCGCATGAGTGTATGCTGTTAGAGAAAAGGGACACATACAGCTATCAATCCATGAACACACTCACCTTCAAGTACGATCATAAGTTTTTTTCAACGTTAAAATTTCTTAAAACTTGCTTAATAAAAGCAAATATTGTTCAAACTAAGAAAAAACTAAAAATTTCCTTTTCGGTTTCATCTTCTCATTGGTTAATCGTGCGTAGTTAGACGCTGTTTGATAGGAAAAGGTTACGCTCGCTTGGTAATTAAAACCCGAAGACCATGTTTGGGTCTCATGGTAATAATAAAATCTGCTACCATTGATTGACCAGGTTCCAATTCGAAATTACATTGTTGAATGAGCATCAACAAAATTACTTTTGCTTCGAGTAACGCAAAATGTTGTTCAATACAATTGCGTTGACCAACTGAAAACGGTAAATAACAGTATGGATGTGGTAGATTCGGTTTGAGATCGGTGATAGGATTTCGTAACCATCGTATATAGTCAAATTCGAGTGGTCGAGACCAGAAATCAGCTCGTCGATGGAGTGTATACGGTACAATCAGAATAGTTGTATTGATAGGAACTCGCACTTGACGGTGACCTTTACTGCCCATGATGTTTTCGCGTTTGCATTCTTGCATTAATAGAGGAGTCGGTGAATAGAGACGAAATGTTTCTTGCAAGACAGCTTCGCACACAGCTAATTGATTGATGTGTTCATAGCTCGGTATCGTAACACATCTTCGTTGGTGATTAGAACAAACATAGTCGACACTAGCAGATTTCCAGTAGTCTCGTGACCAGCTAAGACGAATGTCAAAGCTTCATTTTTGATTTCTTCATCCGTAAACGATCGTCCTTCAGTATCGACGACTGAAAGAAGTAGATCAAGCAAATCTGCATTTGAACATAGTAATCGCTTTACGCCAAAATCGTAATCGAGGTAGAATGGGAATATGAATGATCATGTTCATCCAACGATATCGTATGGCTTCAAAAATCTCGTTTACTGTTCGACACATGATTTAATTGGCATTAGGTATTGTTTCTAGGCCTTTATCAAAAGCACACAATGTGATAACTGATAATGTTAACGCGGTTAGTTCCATCTGTAAATTGATCGATGTTGGATTCGACATGGTACATATTCGTTCAATTGTCTTGACTGTTTGATCAGCCGTAATTGAGATCATAGATTTAAGATTGTGCAAATAAAATACTGGATTGAGCATTTTTCGAGCTCGCTCATGTTCGACACCTTCACTCATCAGAATATTATGTGAACCGATCAATGGCTTAAAAACACGAGCAAATACCGCCGGTTTATCATAGTATTGAGTGTGTGATTGGCCAAGAATATCCTCAATCATATCGGGTTCATTGACGATGGGATGCATCGAGAAACCTATCGCAAAGGTATAACATTGTTCATGTTTTTCTATTAGTCCATCCACATAGACCAGAGTACTGTCATGCTGTCGAGCGTGACGCAGTTGAGGTAACTGACCGATCAAGGAAACGTATGGTTCACCCTGGATTCCTTGATCCCGAAGTTCATCGTAGATTCGTTTCTTGGGTCGAATCAATCTTGCATAGATAATGAAAACGATCACTAGATATAACAATAACATGAGAAAAAATATTTGAATACGTCTCGCAGACAAAAGAAAAAGAGCTCTTTTGTATCAATTTTTTTTCATTCTTATCATCTAGCTCTCATTTAGGGTCGGTGTGTTGCATACTACTAAAAAGAAAAGATGAAAATAACACCATATTGTTTTTTTTTCTCTACATGGCTTCGAGAAGTCGACCTTCATTATGAAACCAATGATTCATGCTTTCTACCGTCACAGTTAACCATGTTTATAACCTGAAAAATCGATAATGAGTAAAACCGGTTTTCGAATTGGACTCATTGTGGTTATCTTTCTGATTAGACACAACTTGTTGTGTACTTTTTCACAGGATGAATTCATGTCGATCTTCCTCCATCTGATCTATGATTGAAGAAAATAATCCGAAAACAGTTGCCATCTATACACATTATCAATACCAATCTGTGATATTATTCTTTCCCGCTGTTGATTCAGATGATTCAAAACAATGACTACTTAATAAACCCATGTAGCATTGTCAGACGACGGCAAAGACAGTCGCTTGTGCAAACAGATACAATTCACATGAGATCACATGGCATTTCTTGACTTGATGCTCGAGAAAACTATCGAAATCAAGTTCTGCTTGATGAAACAAGAAACAGATCTGTCATCTAAGAAAAGAATATACAAAGGCGATCATTTTCGTCCCAAATCAAAAATTATGTCGTATGCATGATACAATTAAATGAACCAGACAAAACCTTCCTATTATCTTACCTACATTTATTCTTGATGAGCATTCACCAAGTAACAACTATCCTTTTTCAAATTCTAAGAAAGAAAGAAATTCATGAAGTGATAATTTCTTCGATCAACTACTATTATATCCTTCGTTGTTCTGATGATATATTATACAACCGAGTGATTGAAATCTTCGTCGGTATAGAGCACATTCAAGAAATGATGTGACAGACTGTAACCAGTACTGAACGAAGGGACAGTAATCACACATATACTGATCTGTTAATAGATTATGAAGAATGGATTCTTGTCAGTATGTCATGATTAGTCATATTTTTGTTCATTCAATTCTCCGTTCTGATATCGAAACGAATATCCCTTTTTTATTACTTTGTAGCACTCAACGACCTTGATCTGCAGTGAGAAATAGTTCTTTATGTAAGAAAGTCGATTCTTGATTCCAAGAGTTATATGGTACAATTTTCAGGAAAAACTTACCGTGGAAAGGTCGATCAATTATTTTGTTGACTTTATTATGTTTCTCAGAAGAGAGATATTTATTTTTGACTGTCCACAGTATCGAAATTTCATTCGTTAGTTGTTACTTCATCAAGAAAAATAATAGACACTCGATATTCGTTTGAAACATAGGAAACGAGTCCTATTGATATATGACTAATAGTAAATTATTTGGTAAATGAACTACTATTAAGTTCTTTTATCTTTTCGCTGAAATTCATCCTACCGAAGAGATTCTCTAAGATCACAAGAGATTTTTCTATTTATTTATTCAGTCTCACCAATGGAGCTGACGAATTGCACACAATCGTTTTCGATAAAAGAATACGACATTAATATTACCATAGAGCAAATATCTCGCTCTAGACTAATCAGGATTGTCTTTTTTTTGCCGACGAAAGCCGTGCACTGAGCTTTACAATGCAGAGCAAGATCTCTATCCATCGCATACATACGTTGCAGTCTATATAAAACAACAATATCCATGATGTTAAATAATTTCTTAAAAATTATGGCTTTCGTGAATTTCATATCAAAAGCATATAAAAGTATTGGTATTACACATGATGAATCGAACATTAAGATTGCGTTATTTAATGTTCACTAATTGCAAAAAACATTTTAATCAAAATCATGCAACTAAACGGATGGCCATGTTTGTTTTAATTAATGAAATTGAAATACATCAATTTTAATAACTGTTCCTTCATTTTAATGCAATTTTTGTTGTTTCCCAAATACGTGGACAGAACGTAAAGTAGAAGAAAAATGGAGAATAAAATATGATTCAAGCACTGCAACTAAAAAATGTGCTCGATACAATCAAGAACTAGAAATGCGATATAAACAATATTAAAACCAAGCGATGAAATAAGAGTCACATGGGTAAAGGACGACAGAGATCTTAGTACCGTCCAACAAAGTATTCAGAATAGAACTGGGGATAAGATTTCTTTCTACTAAAGAGATCATGTCATTTAGAATTTCTTCATTATTGTGACAATATTTGGAACATCCACATGGAACTCGATAAGCGAACGGAATACTGTGAAGTCTAGACTTGTACAAAGCAGCAATACTAATGCAAATCGGGTCAAAGTAACAATATATGTTGATTATAGAATTCACAATGGGATTGTTGAAATGCTAGTAATAAAGACGGTCTCCTTTTAAATGAAATCTGGTCAAATTAAAACAACGGCTATATTGGTTCACAGAAGCGAAAATTTATTTGCCGATCTTTGTATAAAGAACATGTGCCTTTTTCAGATCTATGTGATAAGTTTGACTGATTTTTATAAGACTAGAGCACATTTTTACGTATTTATTGAAATTCCGAACCGTTTTCTCAAGAATGGATTCACTGTTTAAAAGTTGATATAATAGAATATGACAAAAAGTTATTTTAAATATATGACATCGAATAGCTCCTATCAAATTTTATTTGTGTTTATGATTCGAGTAATGTTACTGTAAAAAAAATAATAAAAGCATATGACCAAGCTAGAAATTTTTTTTCACATTTAGAACAAGATAGATGAAGAAATCTCGTTGCATAAAGAAAAGAAGCAGAATACTGTTGCATTGTTGTTCTTGTCATTCAACGTCTAGCCTGACGACGGCACATAACAAAGTTCTTTAGAATATCAAAACTATGATAGCAACATTGGTATTTTTTGTACATGTTGATCTTTAGCAATATATATAAATCTATTATTACAGTTTGGTTCAATAAAGTTTCCTCTTCTGTTATGCTTTCTTAAGACGATTATAATTTGTTTTCTGTCGATGATCAGTATATAGCGAGACAGTACAAACTTCACTGCATCGTATGACATATTAATCATAAATAACAAATAAATCTCAGAGGAGAAAGAATAAAGAGGAATAACTGAACTTATATATATTAATGCATATGAAACTAATCGAGAAACGAACATTCGACTTACTATTATTGTATATTATAGTAAAAAAAGTACTCCATCTTTTTTTCTGCCGTATTTTTTTGTCTTCTGAACTTTATTTGTTATTTTTGATTAATATGTCATGGGATTCAGTAAAGTTTGTACTTTCTAGCTATAAATAGATTGACGAGAACACAACCAAACTGTTATCATCTTAAGCAAGAATAACAGAAGAGAGAATTTCAATTGAACCGCCCCGTTGTTACAACTTCTAATAAATCATGATTGGTCATTTCTTTTAGTAAAGTGTTATTGTTGAAAATGATATTCACACACAAATTATCATAGGAGAACACTCACACCAGCAAGAGCACTGACACCTACACCTATCGGCATCATCATACTAGGATATTCTAAAGCTTGAAGAAGAAAATAATTTGAAAAGCTGCTCCATTTTTACGTGTTCAGTATTGTTTATTTAATTTGTCTCCGTAATTATCGACTTTCTAACTTTCACTTACGATGAAACATATTTGAGTATATTCCCTCAGAATGAGTTTAAAAGCATTCTATCTGGCATAGATTTCCACCAATATATCGAATAACAATATCTTGGCTGCTTTTGATTAAGTCTGAAAAAAAAACAGAGGATCAAATTTTCAGTTTTTAGATATATTGCATCGTTTTTATTATTTATGAAAATTTGCAAGAATGATCATGTTATTTGAGAACGCTGTGTAGAAAAAGGCTATGATTCTACATGAATGGACCATTTGTCTATCACAAATAAAACTATTATATCTATGCCTTCCATCTATGAACTAAAAACTATGATTTGCATGTGTCACATGTCTGAACTGAACACGCTTCTTCCTGATAGAAAAAAATACGAACCACGTGCTCAAGCTTTATTATAAAAATTACAATTTCATGAGCTTTTGCTATGATCTATTAAAATTGAACACAGATGTATAATTCTAAGGCCAAATGACAGTTATATTTTCTGCTTTCCATCCATGAGATCCTTCGACAATATTAAATTCAACATTTTTACTGGTACAAAAAACTGGCGAGCTGCAGTTTAGAATATTTGAAGCATGAACATAAAGGTCTCTATCAAGACCAACACACTCGATAAATCCAAGACGTCGTTTTTCATCGTTCAACCATTTCAAACAACCGTGAAGCTTTCGTTTCGAATCTATTTTTGAAGGATCAGCTCTAGATACGTAATTTTTGTTTTCTTCCATCATGGTTGCCAAGTTTTCGTAATTGATACGAATTTCCATAGGCATCTCTAGCCAACGATGATTTACATAGAGAGTATCAAGTATTAATTGTAAACGTTTTCTTTTAAATTCATCTAATTCTTGATCTGTTTCATTCAACGTACCAGACTTAAAGTTCCATGCGCCGTTAAAATAAGAAAATCCACAACCAATAAATGTTGTATTTCTCGGTTTCCAATATCCAAAAATCGAATAAAATAAACGACCATGAATATATTGACTACGTCGTCCTTTCCTTTGTGGAATATTTTTTAAAATCCAATCGGATTGTTTTATATAGATGTCACCAGTTGAATAAGAAATCAAACCGACATAGGATTTTTTAGGATCAAATATATCAGAAACTGGATGAATACGTACTGATGCAAGAAAATTATTTGATGAATTATTGAGGCCACTACTGACAAGTTCACCAGTCTGTGTTCTATCCGTGTCCATCAGCGAGTCATCCATTATTATGAGTCTTCTACAATAGAGATGCCAACGATATAAACTTATTCCTAAGAAATAGTTTTCAGCAACTTTTTAAAGCACTCCGTTGTAGAAGAACAATACTATAACTCTAGAAACCTCTATATAAATACTAATTCATAGGAGAAATTCACAAAAATATATGACGACAAGTGACTGCAGACAAAAGTCTTGCTGACAAAGACACTGATGTGTGTTGTTACTCTGCATGGACTTTTTTTTTATTCAGTCACTGTGAATTCGAAAATTCTCCTTCGCAGTAACAAATCATTTTTTTTCCTGCGAGCGATTAATGCCAGAACAGAAATTTACAAAAAAAAAGAAAAAGTCGACGCTAGTAATATGGAAAAAAAATGATTAGTTTACTCTTTTTGTCTTTTCTATTCTTCAAGGAATAAAATTTTGTAACTTACATGGCGCACAAATATTCAAGAAAGAAAAGTTTAAAAAACTAAAAGTTGTTTTATTTACTGTAGTGATTTGCTGGCACCCAATGTAAATATACAAGAATAATAAGGAATTGTTTATATTTTAATCTTTTCTCAAGTCATTGAAATGATCATATGGAATGTTCGGGGATTGTCTAGCGTTAAAAACTGCATCGCATAGGCTTAAGTAAACATCATTCTAGGAAGAAATATGTATATCGTTAGGACTTGCTCTGTATTTTGTGCTCTAACATACATGCAACCTTTTAGGCAGGTTTCATGTGCTCATTTGAACACGTTTTCTGGAAGGCTGAATGCTCAATACTATACAGTTTGTCATCGGCTACATGATACTATATTCGATGTTACATTGAATCCTATGTTAAAACCGAGTAAGATTCCTTCTATTACGAGTGAATCTACGCATACAAACCGATAGCGACAAAACGGTATCATAGACTATAATGAATAGCCTTCATGTGCAAATGTCAAATCATTTTAATCTTGCATCACTGATCTCTTTCTTCAGAACAACGCTCTTACTCTAAATCAGTTACGACAAAAAACAAAATTTTCGATGGTTATATGCATCATGCTGATGCAAAACGCAGCTGGTTGCCAAGGTGGCTGCGCAAGAACGCAAGACTTCTCGTTCATACTTCGTTTCTATTGAAGGCTTCTGAATGCAGGTAGTAGAAACAGAGAGAGAACTGACATTTTTTTGCAGATTTAGGTGCCAGTGTGTACGAATGGGTCTGTGTGTAAAGTATGGGGCGCGGATGTGGTGTATCGATGTGGTGTTGGATGAAAAGAAGTTTTTAACTTAAATTAACATCAATCCGCAACCATAATAGCAGAGCAACATCCATCAGCACCATTAATACAGTGTTGAACTTTGTGTCTCATTCAAACTACCTTAAAAACGTTAATGAAGTTATAGTTTGCTTTTTGATTTTTCGGAAGATTCATTTCGATAGCTTTTTTTTTATGACTTGCAAAGTCATGCTTTATTTTTTCATTTTCTTTCTTTTGATGATGCAATAGGGAGGAAAATAAGTCATGGACGACACATGTATTCACTTTTTCTTTCTGTCTTTACACAGTGGCGCGTTAGATATTGTAAAACTGCAATGCAACTCCTACCAAACAATTGTTATGTGACACACAAGTAATGTGGTAATCTCGTTATATGGTGCTTCTTCTTTCTTTTCAGGTATTAAAAACGCGTGCTATATTTTAATCTTCTTTTATATATGCTCTTCTTAGACATGAATCGAGTCAGAGCAGCCGAGACTTAGTCTTGTTTTTGTAAAATGTCGGCCTTCATAGACTCACTTTGATGTTGACTTCCTAAATTTTGTCTTGTCATGCGTACAGAACGCACCTATATTTCGAAACAGTGAATGTCACGTATAACCAACGAATTATTACGGTGAAACTAATGAAATATTGATGAAACAACAAAATTCAGAAAATCAACCCAGAGATTAGTCGATGGTGACGGACAGTTTGCAAGATCGGCACCGAGCCTAATCAAGCTTGAGTTCGAGTTGCTCGTTATAAACTTGGACTCGTTCTATGCCTCATTTATTTGAATATAGCTTTCTCGCTATAGCCAGGTAAAGGTATCTATCAGCAACATTTGTTAAAGCTTCTATATATGTGTGTTTTTCTTATTTCTGCGAGCTGGATGAACGATGATTTTTTTATTATGCCAGTTATATAACACTTGGAAGTGCTTACATGATGATATAAGAAGAGTTTATGAAAATGAAGTATTAACCAAAAAACAGAAATCCGATGAGCTTTTACAATAACCACAAATTCATTAGGTTCGACTCAATGAACGATTTCAACAGTTAGATGAATTTCTCAAGGATATTCAAAAACAGAAAGAAACGTTTCTCGATTACTTATAAAGATATAAAGAGACTTGCTTGCTTTTTTTTTACTTTAGAATGCAATAGATATAATCCAATAGAAACAGATTGGTTTCGTAATTGTAGTTCATTAACACATATTCAACTAACCATCCCGATAAATAAGATTGTTATTGATAATCAGTATGATTCATCAATTGCTCATTAATATGTTGATTCTTTTGACAAAGTTTGCATAGCATTCTTCCTAAAATGTAAGTTTTAATCTGTCCAAGTATTGATGCGAATATTTTGAAAAAAAAACAAATTAGAGTTGAAATGTGTAATGATTGTTCGAAAATATTCATCGGTGTAAGTGGAAAAAAAACTTCATTCATAAATTGATTTAATTTGTAGTCTTTGGGCTGAAACATGAAAAATATCGTTATGATGCAATCAAAAAGGTTTTGTGTCAATTGTTATGTACTATCTCAAGTAAGATTCTTTTCTTGATAAAAATAAAACAATTTCATTTTCTTTCACGTCGATTTTATCGAGAACATTACAAAAATCAGGTCAATGAACGTTAGTTTTAACTCAAATTGTTATTCAAATCAACGCTAACTTAGCTGATGTTATATAATGTGTTAAAATTCCAGTTTATCTTTTTTCTCTTTTATTTTTAATGCATAAATAATTCTTTTTGTAATAATTTCTAGTCAAGAACATTAATTTAAATTAATAGCTTTTATATTAACTCTTCTATTTCATTTGTAGGGTAACATTAAGTGTGTTCTAAGATTTCCATTGAATTCAGCCTTATAGTCGTAGGAGATAATCGACCAGAAACTGACAAGTAACACTGAAATGTATTGCTGGTTAAATTATTCACAAACTTTAATCTCATTCAATTTCATTGCTATATTTATATCAGTGATCCTTTGACAAAATACGTAGAATTAGCAAATGGAATCGTACTTTCAATAGCAGAGAAGAAAAACCTAATCTATCAAAATTTAATTTTAGTCTTTATATGTTCACTGTCAAATTGATATGGATTCCACCAACCCCAGTAGCCACAAGCAATGCTACTAATTATTAATGCACTAATGTAAAAAGACGGACCAGCAGGATGTGCTTCACGAAATAGATGATTAAACCAAAATGTTGACATATGAAATATATTATACACACCGATTGCTTGAAAAATCAATTGAAGCACCTGAGAATTACGAGTTTTCAGTCCTGCCAATGCCAAAAAACCAATGACAATATCTCCACTAGCGACGACCTGGACCCAAAACTTAGCAGACGGAGTGGGAACGCCACCAAAGTATTTTATCGTACCGCCTGGAACCAACAGATAGAGCAAAGAGGAAAACCAAGGTAAAACCACTGTTAACCATAGATAGATCGTGCGAACAGATGGCATGATGATATCTGGATTTTTAATAGCGCGAGTTATCTAAAACATTCTGAAACAATAGGAAAATTAGCAGAATTTGCTTTGACTTATTTCAGACGACTCAATCGAACGAAAAGCAGAGTTAACGAACGAACGATTGTATTTCACCTTCAATAGTGACACATATAGACAATCCACGTGAGATGAAAGATATGAAAGTAGGAGCAAAATTTGTTCGTTCTGTATTTGCTAATGACGAGCGACTAGGGCATGTGTGATATAACGAGATGCAAAGAAAAGCAAACACACATTTCTTCTCCTCTTTTTCTTACGAGCTACTTTTTATTTGCATCGATACTCGGAAGAAAATAAATGAGAGAGAAAGCGCTACAATGGTCATAATACTAAGCATATAAAAACAATCAATGATATGGATATACCAAATCTATCTGCTTGAAACTTGAGGTTGGATGTTCGAGTTCAGGATGTGGGAGGATGTTGGTAAGCGCTGAGAGAGTAGCCATATCAGATCTGATAGCAGGAGTCGCATACATATCTGTCTTTAAATACACGTTTACTGATAATATTCGATTATTTCTGTTGACTAAATCATATAATGATTCCAAAAATATGATGAAAAAAGGTTACATATGACATTCATTCTTTGAGTTGAATGTCCAATAATAATTTTTTCTTGATAGTAAGTATTAAGATACATACTAAAAGTTTAAACAGAAAGAAAATTCATACTATGTTCTTCAATGATCCTAAATCAAAAGGGTGTGATTGCGAAAAGGAGTCACTAACTTTCACACCAATCCATTTTTATTTACACTTACATTTTACATTCTACTTTTCATAAGTACAAGAAAGTAAATTGGTCTTGATCTGATTCTTTTCGATTCAGTTCAAAATCTGTAATCTATCTGAAAATCTTAAGCCAGCTCACGAGACCTTTCAGCATGGTTAAAACCGATAGTGGTTCCTTCGATCACATCCCGGATTTAGTTTTTACCACTCTACTTAGATAGAACACAGAGATGTCCATCGCGGCTGAAAATCTGCCGCTGCCGCGCCGCGGCCTTAGAAAAAAAAAGCTGCCGCGCCGCGACGGTTTATAAAAAAATGTTGCCGCGACGCTGCCGCACCGCGATGACTTATAAAAGAAACGCTGCCGCGCCGCTGCCGCGATGAATTATAAAATAAACGTGCCGCCATCGCGCCGCTGCCGCGACGATTTTCAAAAAAGTGTTTCTAATTTCACTGCTGTGACTATATTTGACCAGAGAT